TTCGAGAATAATTTTTACATCTTCATTAAACAATTGATCGAGTTCCCCCCAAGGATGCTAAAAATTGTGTCAAAGAATACTAAGAATCAAACTCAAGTAAAAATCTATAAAAGAAAGAAAGGGAACTAAACCCATAAGTATAAGGTCCGCAATGAAAAAAGACAAATGAAAAGAAAATGAACTTTTGAAACAAAAATTACAACCAATGTAAGAAATACATTTCTTTGGACCATTTCATAATCGAAAATGAAATATCCATAACTATTACTTCTTTACGTCATGAACAACTTCTATTTGTACACAAATCCTATTTTTAAGACAAGTAATCACAATTAAACAACGGGAATTAACTGAATGGATGACTACACCAAATATTGGATGGAAGGCATTAAATAAACTGAGAAAATATACAGAAATTCATGACAACAGGAAATTGCTAGAAGAAGCATTCTATCCAGTGATTAAGTTATTACTTAGCAAAAGGACAATCCTAATTATTCAAAGATGAGATCAATTCAGATGCATCATTCATTTATAACTATTAGTAGGTAAATAAAGAGAAAAAAAGAAGATTCTTTTTAGCTAATTGGGAACTTGGACCTTATAATAACCTGCAACTATGTAAAGTTGGTCTAAGATGCAAGAGGGCTGCCAAATAGATTAGTTTTATAGTTTTATGCTCCTTTCCCTCACCCTCATTATTTTCACATTCTAATTGCGTAACAGAATCATGATGTCGAATATGGAATTGAAAAGCTTCCTCCAATCTTTAATACAATCCAGTTAATTGAAAAGCTTCCTCAAATCTTTAATACAATCCAGTTTTGAGTTAGTGAAAAGCGTTACATCGCATAAAAAAAAGTCCCTTTGGGTCATTTAATCAAACAAGTTATTTTATAGTTGTCCATATCAAACAATTAGTGTTCGGAATATGATCAAAATTTCTTTTCGTTCCGTTGATGCAATGAACTCTTCAAAAGATTTCGGGTATTTAATACAACTATTGAGAGTTTTTATGAGACAGCTTTTGAGTACAGATATTGTAGACGGTTCTGCAACTAAAATTGAGGGAAACAATACCAAAAAAACAAGAGCATAGTTAACCAAAAAACTAATAAAAGAATTAACATATATACTAAGTTATAGATGGACACTTTTAGAGTATCATATTGTTTACAACTGTGGTTTGGGAGTACTTCTAAAATATCCTTCAGATTTGCAATGCCTTTTTACATTACATAGCATCCCTTGTAAATCACTGGCCTTCCAATCATTCCTTGTCAGATTGACGTAAACTCTAATTCAATCCAATATATCTGCAAAAGCACACAATATAAAATCAATATATAGCATTATTAATTAACGCTCCATCCATAAGTTATAGCAATCTATGGATACAGTGGGGAAAGTGAGAGATTACCTATGAGTAGAAGCAGCAAGAATTACCGAATGCTTCACATAAGTCAGGTAGTAGCTAAAGAATGTTTATCTGCAACAAAAATGCTTATACTGATTCAATATGCTCCAACTTGTCATAACAAGATTATCTGCAACAAAAAGCAAGAGCTTGTAATGGAAGAGAGATATGTATGTTGGACTAACTAACATAAGTATGTATTGAAGAGGGAGCTGCTAGCTTTCCTGTGGAAAACGCAGGGACGAGAGGTAGAGAGAGGGACAGTAACGGCTGAGAATAAGAAGCATTTGGGGTGTGAATATGATAGAAAGAGAGGGGGGGTGGGGGAACGGATAGAACAGGGAGGAAGTGGAGGTAGTAATTAGGGTTGGTCTACCGTTAAAGCTGAAAAATATGGATGATATAATTGTGGTTTTAGAGGAAAAAGGTGAAAAAAAAAATTTCAAATATACAAATATTCTAAAGTAAGTATAAATATAGATATAAATTCTCTCTCTCCACACCACACAACAAATACTTCCACAGAAAACATCACACACACTGTTTGTCTCTTCGATTCTCTCTCTTTCTTTACACAACACAGGCATAGATCAAACCCAGCATCTCACATAGACACTGTCTGCTCACAAGACTCAGTCATACACACAACTCTCTCTCTCTCTCTCTCTCTAAGTATCTCCCTTTTTGCAAACACCACACACACATACCACATGCAAAATTAACCAATTCATCCCAATTCCCTGAGGCCAACACCACCAACGCGTCACCTCCTGAACGACCACCTGCAATCTATTCAACCAGCCATAATAACATATGCAAAACACAATTCGAATCCATTCAACATCCAATCACCACCCAATTTATGTCGAATTCAAAAGTCCTTTAATTAAATAAATGTCAAATTTACAAATTGTGGTTAAAATGGCCACACGAATCAACTAAAGTGAAAATTCAAATCTTTTAATTAAATAGCGAATCCACAAATTTGTTTAATATTACCAACGTATTTGTGACTGTTACAAAATACATAATGAGTTGGGGCCAGGTTAGCATCATGGTAAGTGTTGGAAAAGTATGTTGGTATCTGATAAGGGTAAAATTTTGGGCATGGGCCACCAACAAGTTCGAAGATTAAAAAGTCATGAGGAACTGGAAGAAAGTCCATTTGCCCAACTTGGAGTGTCTCCGATTAACTCAAGACAAAGAGTTGAAAGGACAAGCCCCGACGGGCACTCGAGGGACAGTGGTTCAAACCTGGCCCAATTAGGTGTCAGCTAAAGGGCAATCCGAAGAGAAGGAATCAGATATTTGCCTCAAAGCCACCCCGCCATGCCACACGTCTAGAGGACAAGGAGACCATCTCTGAAACCAACAATAGCTATATCCTCAAGCACGCAAAAAATGGTGGAGCATAACGCCCCAGAGATCGTGGGCGTAGTGGCGTCGGCTGAAAAAGGTTTTTCAGGATAGGGATGGGAGGTCCCCATAGGATAGGTAAAAGGTATAAGGAACCGCCAGAAATTACAAAGAGAGACGACCTATATATATAACAGTACCCTAAAAAAGGGGATCCCCCAGAGAACATTTTATCTACCGTGTCCATCCTATAAGCAAAACATAACTGTGTCCATCCTATAAGCAAAACACCAACCCCTGCAAGGGCCCAACACTTGAATCCCAGCTGTAAACATTAGAGTTTTAATATACAAAATCAAGGAGCAAGAGATTTCATTACAGTGGACGTATTCTTGATCAATCGGCTGAAGCGAACCACTTATCTTTTTCGTTTTCTCTTTGATTAGATAACCCAATCTACCGAACCTACTCTAAAATCGGACGCAATAACTTCTCACACGTTGGGCTTGGGTTGTGATTTCCAAGACCCCATCAGTATCGTTAATAACAAGGTAAACCTCGAGTAATGCTACACAATCTAAATAAAACCTAAAAAATTGTATTTTAAATTCATATCCAACTCTCATCCAATGAATGATATTAATTTGAGTTGTAATTTTGGGTTCCATATGGGTTGTGTAGCATTTTTCGGAAAACCTCTCGTATTTCATGTTGCTATTTTATTTTATTTTTGCCTCCTTTCAACAAGATTCGAACTTGATAAAGACAAAATGAAGATATATAAATGCAGAGGAGCCTAAAACATCTCGAACAAATCAAGATTTGTTTGCTGCACCATCTTCATCAACAAAAGACTTAATTATTTTTCCTTTTTCTTTTTTTAAAGAATTTATCAAAGAATTGCAGAACTTTCTGAGCTGTGATAAGTACCTTTTATGGCTATCAAGGCATATGATTTGAATAAATAACCACTGCCCCAGAAAATAAAAATTGGCACCGTATTAAAAGTTATTACTTTTCAAGATTAAATTATACCTTTTTAATGTAAAATCATATCTACTTGTGATTAATCACGACATCTCATAAATTATCACGATATTTTTTGATCCATCATGACTTTTTAGAATGTTATAATTTACTTTTAAAATTTTATAACTTCCGATACCATAGCTGTTCCCATGATTTGAAGTTAGACAAGCCAATCCTGGTTGTCTCTGCATGGGGTGATGGTTGATGAAGAAGGACCCAGCTGCCATCAAAGAGAGGCCAGTAAAGTTTTATCTTTCATTCTTCGTCCATGACCATTCACTAAAGTTGCCCTCTTTTTAGGGCGTGAAGATTTGACAGAGAAGGTGACTCAACCATTACCGTAGCAGGAATGATTCAAACAAGTGCTTTCCGACTTGTGGATGGAAATGAAAAGCCAAAATGTGGCTTGGGAAGTAATTTTCAGAAAGTATTCTTCCGCAAGAACTTTTGAGTTTGTTATATATGACAAGGGAAAATGAAACAAAGATAGAAACCTTGTAATTTAAGCATTTTCAAGGATTGGGCATACCGTATAATTAGTGGTGCGACCAAATCAAAATATTAGGGTGTGAAAATTTTAGTAATAAGAACAAACTGTAAACTCAGACATCTTAATTGCAAAATTTTACAATCCTTAGGCCAAGTTATGAGAGATTTAGAATATCCCTCAAGAATATTCTAATCCCAGCGTAAATGATCTATTTTTCACTAGATCAGAGAACGGATTAATCGTAAAGTATGTAAGCTTATTTGAACATGCGTGACCATTGAACCAAAAAAGATAAGGGTTACCAAGTTTCCTTCATTTTCTTGTTTTTGCAGCATTTGTTTTCTTTTACTCTCATAGAAATAAGGTAAGATATATACAACATAGCTAAGCAGCCTAGGCTCTTGCCATTGCCTGTTGGAATGGGTGGGGTGGTGGGGGCTTGGATGTGGTGCAACCTTGTCCATACCCATGATTTATTAAAAAACAATAAAAGTACTCTTAATATCAGCAACAGCCAATCAGTGGTGAATTAGCTGACCACTGACAATATATAAGCAAACACATGGACACACAGTCAAAAAAAAAAATTAAAACCCCTACAAAAACTAATAATAATGCTGCCAACAAAAGGAAACAGTGTTGCCTAACACAAGAAGAAATTAAATAAAAGAGTAAACAATATAAAAAATGCAAAACTATCATTTTTATTCAAATATAAGTAGCAACTGTGACATTGTAACCCACTATGGCATCACCCGTGGTAGGGTCGAGCCAGTAGGTTTGCGCAATGGCATAACCCCTTGCCAATCGGAAAAGACCGGTACCACCGACGATTGACATCTCGCGGACCGGATTGATCGCCGGATTTAGGCCCAGAATGCTGAAAGAGCTGCCGTTGTAAATACCTTCTGTGAAACAATAGCTCATGACCATAATCAGGCCCAACTCTGTCTGTGCAGCAGAGCCGTACAGTCCCCGGGCTCGGCCGACGAGCTTCGAACTCGGGTCAGGTCCCTCTGTCAAGGGATCATCAGCCATCAGGAGAGCACCAAAGAGAGTGAGTGAATTGGTAGTCTCGTTAGCTTGAGCCACCCGCACTGCACTTGGGTTCTTTCCACTGACTGTGTCATGGAAATAGAAGTGAAGGTTTGTTACTACCTCTTTACCTGTATCAACTCTCTTTGCCCAGCCTACTTGATTAGACCCATCTTCTTGGCTTTGAGCCGATGCCATGGTAATCACCAGGGAGATTAGCATTGCAATCAAAGAGAGTCTGGCCATCTCTTTCTTTCTCTCTCTCTGTCAGTGTTATTCTTTGAAGCAAATGGAGAATGGAAATGATTTTTATAGGAGGCGAGACATGTCAAAAGCTGTTTAACTACGATTGAAACGCCCACAAGAAAGTAGCATTGACAAGTACTTTTAGACACACTAGTTAGGAATGACCACCTTTACTAAGGGTATTTTCATCCTCCAATTTGTCAAAGTGGTTGGTTTTGGCCGGTTAGATAGATATGATCCAAACCCGAAACCCGTCCACCTGTGAGACATTATCTGTTGTGTTTGGCGACCTAACACAATGGGGATTTGGAGCTAGTGGCTTTACCTATGCCACTTTATTTGCAGTTTGATTATTGGGTCATGCTACAAGGATATTATTTAGAGACTTTATTTGGGAATTTAATGATATGACTTCAATGTAACTATTGAATTAGTTGTGAGTTCAAATGTTAAATGGAGCTCACAACCAATACAATAATTGTACATCATTAGGTCCCAAAATAAGGTTCAAATTTTCTCTTGATTATTTAGCAAAGTTTTCCGAGCTTTTCCCCAAACCCAACCTCTCCAAAAACTTTATTCTTAAACCCAGTCAGTTTTAAACTTATCTCTCAAACCTAGTTTTTTTTTACAAACGTCATTCCAAATAACGTCTTCATAGATTAAAATGTCATTTGAAATGACGATTTTAAACTAATTTTTTTTATTGAAAACGTCATTCAAAATGACGTTTTTAAATGCGTTATTTTTAATGACGTTTTTTTAAATGAATTTTCAAATGGTGAGTAACAGACGTTAAAAAAAAATAATGTGCAAAAAACGTCATTGTGACTGACATTTTCTACCCCCTTATGTTCAGCACCCAACTTTTTCAAATCACAAAAATCCTAATCTAAACTAAACAGATCTATTTACCCATCCTCTCCACTCCGCACCTCTGACGAAGATTACTCCGGTGCAGGCTTTTATCGCCGACGAAGATCACTTCGACGCTAGACCCTACCTCCGACGAAGAACCACTTCTCTAACGAAAGATCTGAGGTTTGAGAAGGAGTTCGACGAAGGACCACTCCTCCGACGAAAGTCTGGATTGCTATGAGAAAACCAAGAAATTTAATACTTTGTTTACTGCACAGGCATAAGAGGAGAGGTATAAAAACAAAGGAGCATATATTGTTTCTGGAACCTCCTGATTTTTATACTCCACAGTTCCATAGTTTTGAAGCAATTACCCGAGACCAAAGGTAAGCGGTGTTACTCTTCTCTCAGAAAGTGCGATGCTACTTCAGGAGTCTGAGTGCAACCAACTAGTCAATTTAGAGAGATTTCCTTTTATGTGAGGTATTTTATGTTCTCCATTTACCAAAATTCAAACTCAGGACGCTTGAATTTATAATTCGTTCCCATTATTACTTAAGTTACGTTGAAATTAGGCTGAGGTATTAATGTCCATTAAGTCTTAGGCCATTTTTGGGATACATAAAGGCAGTAAGAGCATGCTAATAAGCTTGTTTGTCATATTGAGTGGGTTAAGTTCTCCATTTCTCAATTTGAGATATGGTTTTTATGTTGTCTTGAAATTTGAATGGAACCCTGTTTCGCCTGATGTTAAAAACTGAACCAAGCTAAATAGATATAATATGTGGTAAGAGGGAAAAAAACATTTGCATAAGAGTAGTTCTTGCACTTTTAAACAACCAATCCAGTTGGAGTCCATTACACCAGCTTTTGTACACATTCTTTCATCAGTTAATGGAAATTTATCACTTAACCAAAAACAAAAAAGTCAATCTTCTAGGCAACACCTCACGCTATATGGGTGAAACGGGTACTGTTTCTCTGCTATTCGCAAAACAATGCCGTTTAAGAGAACGGTGTTGAACAATCTAAAGAAATACAAGAGATAAGAAAAGAGAAGGCTAAGGTTTTATTGATACTGCATAATTCAATTGAATACAAGGAAGTAAATTAACCTAAATACAAAGAGACTATATATAAACTAAACAAGACAGGGAAAGTAAAAGACTATTCTACCCTTAATAAACAAAATAACCATATATTTCTTAACATCTCCCCTCAAACTCACGATGCAGCAGCGACAAACATCGAGAGTTTGCCAACTAGAAAATGAAAACGGAAAATAGAATGCGACTTGGTAAAAAAATCTGCAATCTGCAAAGAAGAAGAAATAAAGGGTAAAGTAATGGTGTCATGCTTGAGATGATGACGAGTAAGGTGGCAATCGATCTCAATGTGCTTAGTTCGTTCATGAAAAACTGAGTTGTGAGCAATCAGTATAGAACTCTGGTTATCACAATACATAGGAGTGGGATGAGAAAGAGAAATTCTCATATCTGCAAGTAACCAACGTAACCAAATAATCTCTTTGGTAGTAGATGTCATAGCACGATATTCTGCTTCGGTTGAAGATTGGGAAATAATAGATTGTTTCTTGCTTTTCCAAGAAATAAGATAGTCACCCAAAAAGATACAGAAACCAGTAACAGATTTACGATATGTTGGATCACTGTCATAATCAGCATCAGAGTATGTACACAGCTCCAAGGAAGAGGTGGATGGAAGTAAAAGACTCTGAAAGACTATACCCCGCAAAATACGAAGAACTGCAGCCCAATGAACTGTAGTAGGAGAAACAACAAACTGACTAATAACATGAACAACATATGCAATATCTGGACGAGTAATAGTGAGATATACCGATCTCTCAACAATAGTACGGTATAAAGTAGGATCTGACAAAGGTAAACTATCAAAAGAAGAATACTTTGAGTTAACCTCAATGAGAGTATCTACAGTCTTATTATCAGTAAGTCTAGCTCGCTCAAGAATATCTGTAACATATTTCGACTGAGAAAGAAGATAACCTCTAGATGAGCAGACTACCTCAATACCCAAGAAATATCGTAGAGAACCTAACTCCTTCATTTCAAACTGTCTAGCTAACTCTGTCTTCAAAACTGAAATACCATTAATATCATCATTAGTAATAATTATGTCATCAACATATAAAGACAGAATCATACGACCTGCATCAGTGCACTTAACAAAAAAAGCAGAATCATGACTATTAGAAGTAAACCCAAGGGAAGAGATCACAACAGAAAATTTCTCAAACCAAGCACAAGGTGCTTGTTTGAGATCATATAACGCTTTCTTGAGTTTGTAAACATACCTAGAATCATGTGAAACACCAGGAGAGAGAGAGAGCTATATAAACTTCTTCTTGAAGATTTCCATTCAAGAAGGTATTTTTAACATCAAGTTGAGAGATATGCCACTGAGAAATCGAAACAACTGCCATAAGAGTACGAATAGTAGTCATTTTTGTAACAGGAGCAAATGTCTCCTCATAATCCATACCATACTATTGAGAGTACCCTTTTACAATCAACCTAGCTTTGTATCGCTCAACAGATCCATCATAATTGGTCTTAATCTTATACACCCAACGACAACCAACAACACTCTTACCAGGAGGTAAAGGAACCAAATCCCAAGTACCTGTCTTATGCAAAGCAGAAAGTTCCTCATCCATAGCTTGCTGCCAAAGAGGGTCAAGAATTGCCTCTTTGTAGGAAGAAGGCTTAGAGAGACAATGAATAGAAGCTAAAAAGGAAGTAAAAGATGAAGAATAACAAGAATAAGTAAAATTTAGTAACTTTGTGGACTTACGAATGCGTGTGGATTGACGTAGAGGTGGATCCACAATCTCAGACGAAGCTTGAGGGACCATAGGAGAGGAGGTAGCTTCAAGTGTGTTAGAGAGTAAAGTGTCAGTACCTGTAGAATGATCAGTGCTAATATTTGAAGTACTAGAAACCTGAAATGATAAACTATCAGAATCTTCAGAAAAAGGATCTATACGAATAAGATCAGATATAGTCAAGCTATAAGTAGTGGATGGAATAGAAAAGAAAGGTATATGCTCAAGAAAAACAACATGACGAGACACATAAAGTTTTTGAGTTATTGGATCAAAACAACGATACCCCTTTTTACCGTTACCATAACCAAGAAAGACACAAATAGCAGATCGCGAGGACAGTTTGTTGCGTTCAACATGAGGACGAAGAACGAAACAAGTACAACCAAAAACTCTAAATGAAGAATAATCAGGGGCATACCCATACAACTTTTCGAAAGGAGAAACACTTGAAATATGAGAAGATGAAATTGTATTAATCAAACCTACAACAGTAAGAACACATTCACCCCAAAACTCACAAGGAACAGAAGAAGACAACAAGAGAGAACGAACAGTTTCAACAATGTGCATATGTTATCTTTCAGCAACACCATTTTGCTCAGGAGTATCTGTACATAAAGTTTGGTGAATAGTTTCATATAAGGCAAGCAACTCATCAAATTTATTAGAAATGTATTCCCCACCCAAATCACACCTAAAACATTTGATAACAGCAGAATGTTGAGTTTTGACAAGAGCTCGAAAGGTTGTATATATCTCATAATTCAAAACAATATTTCATTAAATAAATTCAACAATAACGAGTATGATCATCAATAAAAGAAACATAATATCGAGACCCTCCTTTTTGTGGCAATAGGAGAATGTCCCCATACATCATAATGAATCAAATCAAATGGAGAAGAAGAAACAGAAATACTTCGATTAAAAGGTAAAGTTTAAAATTTTGCCAGTTTACATCCACTACAATCAGAAATATCACAAGTTTGCAAATTCCCTAAAGCTCTTGTGGATGCCAAAAATCTCAAACGAGAAGACGAAACATAACCTAAACGAGAATGCCATAAATAAAAACTAGAAGAAGAAGGACTTAAACGAAAAGAAGATAAATCAACACTAGTAGCAATAGCAACTAACACTTTTAACTCATCCAAAATATATAGTCCCCCTTTCCTATGGCCTGTCTCAATCAGCTTCTGAGACTGCAAATCCTGCACATAACAAGAAGAAGAGGAAAATGTGACTAAATTTCTAAAATCACATAACTGACCAACAGAAGCAAGATTTAATGTGAATTTTAGAATATGATAAACATTAGGGAGAGACAAGTGAGGTGTGACAACAGAACCAACACCTGTTAAAGGCATAGGAGTGCCATCAACAATCATAACAGGAATAGAAGATAAAGGAGATACAGAAGCAAAAGATGAAGAATCTAGAGACATATGATGTGAAGCACCAAAATCCAAGACCTATACATAATGTGACATACCTGGAGAACTATGAGGCAACTGACCTCCTGAAAAAAAAGCAGACATAGCTTGTGGCTGTAAGGAGAGAAACTTCTGAAATTGCTCAACCAAGGTAGTAGAAACGGTGAAAGGACCTGATGAAACCACTACTGCAGTATTAGACTGTGGTGGTTTGTAACCCTGAGGTGGTCTAGAAGCATTAGATTGTGACTGGTTGCCAGACTTCTGAGCTTGAGATTGCTGCTGCAATTGATTCTGTTGTCTTAACTTAGGACATTGAGCCTTCCAGTGACCATTCTACTTACAGAAATTGCACTCGTCGAAGGCAGACCTTGTGTAAGGCTTATTCTGATTATGAGAGAATGGTTTAGAAGGTACTACTAGCACAGAAGAATCAGAAGTAGAAAGAATTCCTTTGTCAGAATAAGACTTAAGATGTATCTTTTCAGCCAATAACTCACTGACAACTGAGTCAACAGAAGGAAGTGGAGAACGATGCAAAATTGAACCTCTAAGTCCTTCAAAATCACTACGAAGTAAAATTTAAAAATTGTATCAACTGTTGCTGTTCTCTACGAGCAATATAGACACCACATGCCTTTAATTCAGGCGATTCTATAAGAGCCAATTGATCCTAAAGATCTGTCATAGCAGAATAAAACTCCTGAATACTCATATTCTTCTGTTGAAGAGCTTGTATGTCATGCTCAAATTGATACTGCTTTGCAAAATTTGATTGAGTGAATAACCTTTGCAGATGATCCCAAACCTCATTTGTTGTCTCATACTTTGCGAACTACGTACTTATAGAATACTCAACAGAATTGTTGATCCAAGTAATAATTTTTGCATTGTCTGTTTTCCAGACATCTATCAAATCAGCAAAACTCATATCAGTATTCTTAGGTTTCACAGAAATTCCACTAACATATCCCCATAGCTTTTTACCCTTAAGAAAATTTCTCATCACATAACTCCAATACGAATAATTCTTTCCATCCAACCTCACACTCACAGACTGAAGCGAATCGTCTCTTGCAGTAGTCATAATCAACAAACAAAGAAAATCAGATTGCAAAAAAACAGAACAAATACCAGATTGCAAAATTGTGTTTGAGATTAAGCCTTGTCCCATGAAACTTTGCTCTGATACCATGTTGAACAATCTAAAGAAATACAAGAGATAAGAAAAGAGGAGGCTAGGGTTTTATTGATACTGCATAATTCAATTGAATACAAGGAAGTAAATTAACCTAAATACAAAAAGACTATACATAAGCTAAACAAGGTAGGGAAAGTAAATGACTATTCTACTCTTAATAAACAAAATAACCCTATATTTCTTAACAAACGGCACCCCTGCAATACTATAGAGTATCTCTACCGCACGCCATATAACCTATTACTGATTAGAAGAGGACCCGGTTAGACTCGTCAACATTCAACCACTTTTAGGGAGACAAACATAAAGGATAGTTCACCAAAGCAACGAAATGCTAAGGACAATGAGCAAATGCCAAGTTGTAAACGCATGTGTCCACATAAATGTCAAAACAATTCCACACTTGCCATCCCTACTAGTATTTTCATTTATGGAAATATATAAAAATATTTCTGGTTAGGCACACTTGCCAAAATCCTGGAGATTCATACATATATAGTATACAATTTGTTTTGTTGATGATCATTCTCGCATAATTTCTTAATGGTTAAAAATCAGGGAAAAAAAATACTTGTTGGTTTGTATGTTATTTTGTTGAACTCGATCGTCATGCTATACTCTAGAGCCGTGAAATTCAATTTTGTTAGTGATCTATCATTAAGAAAAATTGAAGAAAAGTGTATTATAAGAATTCTAAATCCGTATTTAAGTAAGAAACATTTTATGGTTTGGTTTATACGAAAAGTGTGTGATTGTTATACGTATCTATACTTGTTCACCTCCTCGTGGGTAAGTATAATTTTTCAATAACCAAATTATATTCTTTTCTTTTGGGCTTCAAAATTCAGCTAACCTGATGAAAATCAGATGACTTTTTCAAGTGTGCGGCCAAACAACTTTTATTATATACGTTATTTGTAAAATACAATCATGATTGCTTCAGAAAATAATATCAACAAAGAGAAGGATGACAAATTAGTTTTACCTAAATGAATAGAACATGAAGCATCACATAAAAGCACAGTTTAATGTACTAGATTCTTATTATTATGGAGTCTGAATACGAAACCTTACCTGCATACACAAAGACGACTCAAACCCCTTGACACCCACACCATCATGTTGCAACTTTATTGTTGTCGTAAGAGTCACCCTCAAAATTTAGAAAAGTACAAAAGAAATAAAATAAAATATGAAATTAGAAATGAATTCCCACAGCCCCCGCCCATCAATTGGTTAAGCAAATCCACTAGCTGGCTCTCAGTAATGAATTACGGTGACATGATACTCAAGCACAGCGTTGCCAACAGTAAGGTTAATAGAATAAGTCTTAAGCTTAGCAAACCCTCTTGCCATCCTAAACTTTCCTTTTCCTCCTACAACTGCAAGCTTCCTTTTCATTTCTATCCTCGGATTCCTCGAAAAAACACTGATGGAGCTTCCATTAAACTTGCCGGTAATGAAACCAAAATCAAGGTACAGTACCAGAACTAAGTCTTTGCCTTGACTAGATGACACGTAGAGGCCCTGAGCATTTCCGATGACCTTTTACGTTGGCTCGGGCCGACGGTCAGAGGATTTACAAACATGCAACCAAAGGGTGTTGACCATGTTGGTTTGGTGTCGACACCTAGATGTGACAATTTTAATTCATTACTCATTAATTTGTTCAATTCTTTCATAAATAAATGAGTTGAATACTTATATTAATTAATATGAATTCTAAATGCGTTGGGTCATATGATTCATTTTAATTAAGCGGGTTAATATGAATTATAAATGGATATCAATTGGGTTGAGTATTTATCTTTTTATTAAATAACACAAGTAATAAAATTAAATAAATATACTAATATATTAAAAAAATACATACACACTATTACACCAAAAAATACACAAATATACAAAAACATACACACACTAATGTGTATTAGTTTGTGTATGTTTTGGTGTATTAGTTTGTGTATGTTTTGGTGTATTAGTGTATGTGTGTATATGTTTATATTTTGATATACTATTAATACGTGTGTGTGGTTTGGTGCACTAATGTGTCTATTAAAAATTTTAATTATTTTATGCGTTAATTAATTTAACCCAACCCGTTATAAACCCAACTCATTATAACCCATTTATTACGTGAATGAAAAATAAATAAAATTTATTTTAGTCCAATCTAATTTAACACAACTCATAACCAATCCAACCCACCCATTTGCCACCTCTACCTGTGAGGTTGGCATGGGAAACCTTGACCGCAGTTGGGCAATTGGTGGTGATTATATCATGAATGAAGAAGTGAAGGTGTGTCTCCTTCTCTTTCTTCGGTTCATGAGGAACGCTATCCGCGTAATACTCAGAATTCACCAGTACGGCCGCAACGCCGACAATCAAAAGCCATGTCAACACCATCTTCCCTTTCATCTTCTTCTTCTTCTTCTTCGGAAGCCTTTCTTTTCTTTATTTTTGGGTTTCACCGGAGTTTATATAGATTATAGACACCATATTAAACTCATAAGTTGTACCATTGAAATAATGCTAATACAATAATTAAATGTGACAGAAAGGATTGATGCTACAAATTGTTCATTCAGAAAACGTACCCTAACTGTTGGCATAAGTAAAAATTTATAATCCTACCGTTCAAGACGTCTATTTGATTCCAATTAGCTGGAGGAAAGAATCAGTAGCAAATTTTGTAATGAAGTTTAATTGTTAACAGGGACAAGTTTTAAATTCAGATCATCTGATTTTGAATTTTGGTAATCCCTTATAGTTAGACAATGAGAGATTTATCTTTCATCAATATCCTAGTGTCAGTTTGGATGACCTTTTTTGATCGGACTAAGAAGAGATTTGTCGAAATACGCATAAACTGATCTAAATATTCCTGACAGTTGAACTAAAAAAAACTAAATTTTAAATGTCAAATGATGAAAAAGACGCCAAACTGTGAAGGACATGTCGAAAGTGGAGGTAAGGGTGCAACTTTGGCAGGCTAACTCGATTTCAACCCGAGCAAAATTCAAATAAATTAGGGCTTGGGTTAGAGTTTTTAATACTTGGGTTGGGCTTGGGTCAAAAAATTTCAACCCAAATTCAATTTGACGCGGGTCTCGAGTTGACCCCTCGAGTTACCGAGTTGAACCCGAATATTCATAACCATATAAATACATTTTTAAATCTAGGGTTAATCTGTTATGAAATCTTCATTGTGCGTTTCCCTCACTCACTATTTAAGCAGTGAACTCTATGTTTGTACAATGATTCTGATTGTGTTTATTTATGTTTTGTATGGTTGTGGTTGTATTATTTCAAACATTGAATTCTTAATATTATGATTTTTATGTTAAAAACTTGATTGCAGATGTTGGTTGTTAATTTAAGTGAATATTATGTAATATATGTATCGGGGGTAGAACAACAAGTCTATTTTGGACTCAACTCGAATTGAACCGTAAGGTAGCGCAAAATCATTAACCCGAATTCAACTCTAGTCCGCCCCAATTAAACTCGGGTTGAGTCCCTCAACCCAAGGTAAGATTAAAGGTGAAAATTATATACCTACGATTGAGTTAGGGTTGACTATCCAACCCGCTCGAGTTGCACCCCTAAGTGAAGACATTTAATCTTCATTTTATAGTGAAAGGGAACCATTGGGTATAAGAAATAATGGAGATATATTTCTATGATTATCTAAAAAAGAATTAATGGCTTTTCTTGAAATGAAAGTTTAAGCCCGGACCTATAATATTAAATTAAAAAAATGCCAATAATTTTAACTTTTTAGCTATGTTATTGGAACATACGGGAGAATATATTTTGAGAACACAATAATTGTGTCATAGTGGTCATTGAAGTTATCCATGGATTTCGGTGTTGAATGAAGTTCACCATCAATTTATTAGTTATTTTAGATTAAGTTTTCAAACTACGTCCCTAAATTATATTTGAATAACATATATATAGTACACTTTCTTTTCTTTTAAACATCATCAAACCTTATCCACTATGTGAAAATTATAATTTAGTTTACCAAAAATATTTATTTTGCCATGATTTTTCTTTTGTCCCTTGATTACATCTCGATTTTTTTGTTTTTTGTTTTTGATCTCAATTACGGAAGTGTTAAAAACAAAAAGAAAAACAATCTTCACTGGTATCCCATTGATTAAAAAAAAATGCTTCAAAAAGTGAGTCGGGTTGACTTTGTGCAAAAACAATATTATATATTATATACTTGACATACACAGAGAATGTAGACAAAGGATGACTTTCACACAAATTTATTCCCAACATTTGCCGGCAACAATGACGGAACTGCGTAGAGACCGAGGGCCGTGGTTGTTAGGAGTGTCCAACGTGCCGAATTAAATTAACGGACGAAAAATATATAAATTCGTAAATTACATGTTTAATAAATAAATAATATGATAACTCGTTTAACCTATTTAATTTTAAAAAAATTATATTAACAAATTTTAATACTCTATTAAAATTATATTAACAAATTTTAATACTCTATTTTTTTTATTGCAATTGCACTTACCTCAAAAAAGAAGATTTTTTAGTCAAATCTCATAAAAATAAGACTTAAAGACCTAAAAAACAAAAGTAAGAGGTTATTATTTTTTATAAGCAACTCAACCCTCCCTATCTCCCCGCATTTTTCAATGTGAAACAAATAAGAGTTGAAGACTTAAAAAAAAAAAGAGGTTATTGCTTTTTATAAGCAACTCAACCCTCCTTATCTCCCCTCATTTTTCAATGTAGGACAAATAAAACTTGAAGGCTTAAAAAAAAAAGTAAGAGGCTATTACTTTTTATATACAACTCAACCCTCCTCATATCTCCTCATTTTTCAATATGGGACAAATAAGACTTGCTTTTGTCTTTGAAGTGTTCTTCATCTCCTCTCTTTTGTTTTTGAACTACTACTTTACTTTTTTTTTTCTTGCTAATTTTTTTAAATAATTATTAATTTTTTATTATATTAATTTTATTTAAACGGGTAAACGTATGATAAACGGTTTGACAGATCTCACCCGAACACGACCCGTTCATTAAACGTGTTTGGTATGTCAACTCGTTTATCACTCAAATCCGCTTAATTCGTGTCAGTTAATCGTGTCGTGTTAAATTTTGACAGACCTAGCCGTGACGTGCCCTCATATATTCAAAATTAATTTTTTCTTGTAGGTTTTCAAGAATTGTATGTTTTTGTAAGTTTTTAAAATATTCATTAGTCAGAGCATTCGAAAAGTACAATAACATGAAATTAAACATTTACTAACCAAATGGAGGATATTATTCACAAGGACCCGTGAATTCTTATAGAAGAAAATTTTTGTTTGGACGAGTTTTATTACCAACAAAAAAATGAAAGAAAGAAATGTTCTGTAAAATCAAGGTATAAACGTGACTTTATATCATCAATAATGCATTGACGCACGTCTAACGTTTATAGTGATATCATGCGAATAATTATGATTGTATATAATTCAAAAATTTTGCATCACGTCACAAAGGAGGTAATAAGTGGCCCATGAAATTGTTACACAAATTAAATTTAATAATGATAAATTTTTGTTATACTATCATATAATGATAAGGTCTTCATAATTAAAAATATAAAACTGATAATAACTTATCGATAATCTCATTTTATTAAGTTCTTAAATATGCCGCTGATTTTATTTAGTCCCCCTCATGATAAATTTCTAGTTCTGTCCGTGAGGCAATCATCCAATCTGCTGATATAGTTTTAGATTCCAATGCCAGTGAATAAGGCAACAGAATTATGGGTTACGTCTCCTTCTGTGGGTGTGCATTTGAGAGAGAGAGAGCGGACATGTTTTAGGTGGTGGCCAAAACTTGGTTTATGTGCGTAAGGAAGAAATATATACGTGACAGTGAGAAAGACAAATAGGGCTTGTATTTTATTGCAAATCACTACATACTATTCCTCACAAGTAGACAGTGCAACAACAGAAACAGATTCCTTCTTTGAAGACCATGTGAAAACAATCCATCACTTTTCATCCACGTCTCTAAAAATTGTTAGCTGTTAATTCCTACTGCGTTAGAGCAAAGACCCAATAATGATTACTTCAAAAAGTAATATCAATATAAAGAACGATGACAATTTATTTTTACTTAAATGAGTAGAACATGAAAAATAACCAAAAATAGTTCAATACATGATGATATTCACGTACTATAGAGCCTGACTCTGAATATGAAATCTTACCCCAGGCGACTCAAACCCCTTAACTCCCATATCATGATGTTGCACCCTCCTTATTTAGAAAAGTTCAAAAGAAATAAAATAAAATATGAAACTAGACATGAATTCCCTCAGCACCCGCCCATCAATTGCTTCAGCAAACCCAGGCTAGCTCTCAGTAATGAAGTACGGTGACATGATACTCAACCACAGCGTTGCCAAGAGTAGGGTTAACAGAATAAGTCTTAAGCTTAGCAAACCCTCTTGCCATCCTAAACTTCCCTCTCCCTCCTACAACTGCAAGCTCCCTTTCCGGCTCCGTTATCGGATTCCTCGAAAAAACGCTGATGGAGCTTCCATTAAATTTGCCGGTCGTGAAGCCAAAATCAAGGTACAGTACCAGAACTACGTGTTTGCCCTGACTGGATGATACGTAGGCACCCTGAGCATTTCCGATGACCTCCGACGTCGGATCGGGGCCGGTGGTGAGTGGATCGTCGACGACAAAAGTGGAGCCAAAGGGTGTTGGCCCTGTTGGGTTGGTGTCGATACCTGTGAGATTGGCTTGGGCAACCTTGAGTGCAGTTGGGTTTTTGCCTGTGATTATGTCATGAATGAAGAAGTGAAGGTGTGTCTCCTTCTCTCTCTTCGGTTCATGAGGAACGCTATCGGAGTAATAGTCGGATTTCACCGATGTGGCCGCAACGCCGACGATCAAAAGCCATGTCAACACTAACCTTCCTTTCATCTTCTTTGCCTATCTTTTCTTTACTTTTTGAGTTTCCTGTAGTTTATATAGACACCATATTAACCTCATACCATTGGAATACTGCTAATACATACAATAATGAAATGTGGCAGAAAGAATTGATGCTGCAAATTGTTCATTTAAAATATCCTAGCGGTTGGCATAAATCAAAATTCATAATCCAACCGTTCACACCATCTATTTGATTCCAATTAGCTGGATTCCACGATTGTCCGAAATCTATGGAGAACATGTTGGAAGTGGAGGCCTTTAGTCTTCATTTTATAGTGAAAGGGAACCATTGGTTATAAGAAATAACGGAGATGTATTTTTATGATTATCTAAAAAGAATTAATGGCTTTTCGTGAAACGAAAGTTTAAGCCCGGAGTGTTCCTATCATATTAAATTAAAAAACTGCTATGAATTTTAATTTTTCAGTTATGTTGTTGGGACATATTGGAGAATATATTTTGAGAACACAATAATAATTGTGCTGTAGTGGTCATTGAATTTATCAATAGATTTCGATGTTGAATAAAGTTTATTATCAATTTAATAGTTATTATAGATTAAGATTTAAAACTATGTCCCTTGATTACATCTCGATTGTTTTTGTATTTTTTGCTATTATTGATGGGTCAAGCCCAAGGGTTCAACCCACGCCGTAAGCCCAGCTTGAATTAATAGCCCAACTTCAAGATATCTAACAAGTCCGGTCCAAAGTGATCCACGTTCGGTCAAGCTTTTCAGGTTCGAGAAGTTACATCAACAAAAGAGCATGCAGAGTTATTCAAGAGTCACATTCTCGCCGCCTTAGAAAGAGTCAATCATCATCTCATCATTTGGCCGAATCTCATGGAGAGCACTGTAAGTGTCTCGCCCCTTGACAAGAGATCGTCAGCTCTACTAGAATAGTCACTTAATTACTAATAACTCGTCACAATCTATTATAGGACGACTATAAATTGTAAGTCTTGTCAATAATTGGGGGCATCACATTCAACTAAGCACATTCTCTGCTCTCCCTCTTATAGCTTGTAACTCCTTACTCTCCCTATACATTTGAAATAATATAAAATTCCTATGACTCTAGTCATTCAAAGTGGACGTAGGTCACGTTGACCGAACCACTATAAATCATTGTCTTGTCTTCTCTATTTCTCACTTATTAATTACTGCATTTATTACTATTCATCTGATAGGTGATATACAAATTTAATTTGTGCATCATCAATTATAATCTCAAAAGTGTTTAAAAAACAAAAAGGAAAAGCAAGCTTCACTGGTATCCCATTGATAAAAAAAAATGCTTTAAAAAGTGAGTCGGGTTGACTTTGGATATTTTGCAATATTCGATCAGTTGTGCATAAACAGTATCCTATAGTTGATATACAGAGAATGTAGACAAAGGATGACTTTCATACAAATTTATTTCCAACATATGCCGGCAACAGTGACGGAACTACATGGAGACCAAGGGGTCGTGGCGCCCTCTCATATTTTCAAAATTATCTTTTTTTTTTTGTAAGTTTTCAAGAATTTTAGGTCTTTGTAAGTTTTTAAAACATTCATTTTGTATAAAAGATATTTAGTTAGAGTATTCAAAAAGGACAATAACATGACGTTAAATATTGTCATACCAAATGGAGGATATTATTCACGTGGACGAACAAGTTTTTATAAAAGAAAATTCTTGTTTGGAAAAATTTAATTACTAACAAAAAAAAGAAAGAAATGTTCTGCAAAATCAAGATACAAACGTGAATTAATATCATTAATAATATATTTACTCACATCTAACATTTATAGTGATATATCCTGTGAATATTTATGATTGTATATAATTCAAAATTTTTGCATCATGTCACAGAGAAGGAGAAGGGAATAAGTGGCCCATGAAATTGTTACACAAATTAAATTTAATAATGATAAGTTTTTGTTATACTAACATGTAATGATAAGGTCTTCATAATTAAAAATATAAAAATGAAAATAACTTTTCGATAATCTTATTTTTTAAATTCTTAAATATGCCACTGATTTTATTTAGCTCCTCTCATGATAAATTTCTAGTTCTGTCCCAGAGCCAATCATCCAAATAGGGCTTGTATTTTATTGCAAATCACTACATACTATTCCTCACAAGTAGACAGTGCAACAACAGAAACAGATTCCTTCTTTGAAGACCATGTGAAAACAATCCGTCACTTTTCATCCACGTCTCTAAAAATTGTTAGCTGTTAATTCCTACTGCGTTAGAGCAAAGACCCAATAATGATTACTTCAAAAAGTAATATCAATATAAAGAACGATGACAATTTATTTTTACTTAAATGAGTAGAACATGAAAAATAACAAAAAATAGTTCAATACATGATGAAATTCACGTACTATAGAGCCTGACTCTGAATATGAAATCTCACCCCAGGCGACTCAAACCCCTTAACTCCCATATCATGATGTTGCACCCTCCTTATTTAGAAAAGTTCAAAAGAAATAAAATAAAATATGAAACTAGACATGAATTCCCTTAGCACCCGACCATTAATTGGTTCAGCAAACCCAAGCTAGCTCTCAGTAATGAAGTACGGTGACATGATACTCAACCACAGCGTTGCCAAGAGTAGGGTTAACAGAATAAGTCTTAAGCTTAGCAAACCCTCTTGCCATCCTAAACTTCCCTCTCCCTCCTACAACTGCAAGCTCCCTTTCCGGCTCCGTTATCGGATTCCTCGAAAAAACGCTGATGGAGCTTCCATTAAATTTGCCGGTCGTGAAGCCAAAATCAAGGTACAGTACCAGAACTACGTCTTTGCCCTGACTGGATGATACGTAGGCACCCTGAGCATTTCCGATGACCTCCGACGTCGGATCGGGGCCGGTGGTGAGTGGATCGTCGACGACAAAAGTGGAGCCAAAGGGTGTTGGCCCTGTTGGGTTGGTGTCGATACCTGTGAGATTGGCTTGGGCAACCTTGAGTGCAGTTGGGTTTTTGCCTGTGATTATGTCATGAATGAAGAAGTGAAGGTGTGTCTCCTTCTCTCTCTTCGGTTCATGAGGAACGCTATCGGAGTAATAGTCGGATTTCACCGATGTGGCTGCAACGCCGACGATCCAAAGCCATGTCATTACTATCCTTCCTTTCATCTTCTTCTTCTTTAGAGGCTTTTCTTTTCTTTATTTTTTGGTTTCCCTGCGGTTTATATAGACTATATTAGCCTAATATCATTGAAATAATGATAATTTATAATTTATTATAAAAAATATGACATAATTTAATAAATTTATTTGATAGTCTTAAATAAAATGATCCAACATTCCTTTCAAAACTATTCACATTATACCAAATTACCCATAATTTGCTAACAAAAGATGCTGATTAGGTTCGAATTTGGTCGAACAGTGAACATAGCCTCCACATATTCTTCTAATACAATAATGAAATGTGACGGGATTGGATTGATGCTGCAAATTGTTTATTCAGAATATCCTAGCCGTTGGCATTAGTCAAAATTCATAATCCTACCGTTCAAACCGTCTATTTGGTTCCAATTAGCTGGAGAATCAGAATTTTCCGGAAGAATGGCCGGATTGATGACAAATGATGAATAAGACGCCCAAACTGTAAACGACATGTCGGAAGAGGAGGCCTATAGTCTTCATTTTGAAGTGAAAGGGAAGTAGGAACAAATGGCTATAAGAAATAATGGAGATAGATATATTTGTGTGATTATTTACACAGAATCAATGGCTTTTCTTGAAATGAAAGTTTAAGCCCCGTGTGCTCCCATCGTATTAAATGAAAAAAAAGCAAATGATTTTAATTTTCTAATTATGTTCTTGGGACATAATTGGAGAATATATTTTGAGAACATAACTATATTGAGTCATAGTGGTCGTTGAATTTATCAATGGGTGTCAGTGTTAAATGAATTTCACTATCAACTCAATAATTATAATTTATTAAATTCTCAAACAATATCTCTAAATTATGTTTGAATAACATATAGTATAATCTCTTTTCTTTTAAACACCACTAAACCTTATCCATTATGTGAAAATTATAATTTAGTTTACCAAAATTATTTATTTTACTATGATTTTTCAATTAGTGTATTCAAAAAACATAATAACATGACATTAAATATTTACGAGCCAAATGGAGAATATTGTTCACAAGGACGAGTGAGTTCTTATAAAAGAAAACACTTGTTTGGACAAATTTTAATTACCAACAAATTTTTTTTAAAAATATGCTGCAAAATCAAGGTATAAACACGACTTTATATCATCAATAATACATTAACTCATATCTAACATTTATAGTGATATCCTGTAAATATTTATGATGTTATATAATTCAAAATGTTTGTATTATCTCACAAAGGAGGGATTAAGTGGCCCATGAAATTGTTACAAATTAAATTTACTAATGATAAGTAATAAATGGTTTTTGGATTTTATAAACTTAGTTTTTTTGTTAGAGTATATCATACAATAATAAGATCTTTATAACTAAAAATATAATACTTAGCTTGTTTAATGATCTCATTCCAACAAAAAATAAATTTGAGTAGTCTGAGCTCATAAACCCAGCCTATATAATCCAATTAAAAAATTTTAAGCTCAATAAATAAGACCCATAATTTTACCCCATAACATTCAAAACCCAAACGAAAAAAAAAAAAAAAAGCTAACATCAAATTAAAAAATAAAGCAAATTTCAACTCATTCTGAGTTTTTTTTTTTTTTTTTTATATATTAGAAATCTATAAATGACTTAACTATATTATTTATTGAGAATGATATACAAAAAAATTAAAATATCACAACCTAATTTGTATTTGTATTTATATTCAACAAAATAGACAAGATTCCCGACAATTCCCAAAAAGTCAATTCTAACAAGTTTACAGTTTACAGCTGCTAACCACCCCTCCTCCCACCCAGGCCACTTGTTCCTCCATGTGCTCCACCAGCTTCCATAGGCATTCAATAGTCATCTTTGAAGGATCGTGCGAATATATAAGAGCTCCATTTTCTCTCTCTTCACATGCTCCCTTAATTAGGAAATTAAAAAAAAAAAAAGAGTATTAATATGTTTGAAACATTCATGGAGAGCGTCACGCGAGGACGCAAGTATAGTAGTAACTTGGTCACTTGTTGATTAAAACAAAAAAAAAAAAAAACCCTGACTGAAAGGATTGTTGCTGCAAATTGTTTATTCAGAATATCCTAGCCGTTGGCATAAGTCAAAATTCATAATCCTACCGTTCAAAACGTCTATTTGATTCCAATTAGCTGGAGGAAAGAATAAGTAGCAAAATTTTCCAGGATTGTGCGAAATTTTTAATCACAAATGATGAATAAGACTCCCAAACTGTGGAGGACATGTCGGAAGAAGAGGAATAAATTGCAAATATTGGGTTTAATAGTGACACCATACTATCATTGAATTGAATGGTGACACGATATATCAATAATGATATAATGTTAACTTGCATTGAATTTTAATCAATCCAAAATTTAATACATAAAAAAATATAAATTTTAATTGAATCAAATTTTAATAAATCGAATTTTAATCGACACAAATTTTAATAAGTAAAAAAATATAAATCTTAACCACTCAAAAGCCAATTTTAATCAGCTCTAATAATTCGAGTAGAATTCAAATTAGCTCAAATTTTAATACGTTAAAAAAAAATTTAATCAGTTTTAATTGAATTTTAATTGATTCAAATTTTAATATGTAGAAAGATAAATTTTAATCGACTCGAATTTTAATAAAATTTTATGTAAAAAAAAATTACCGGATGTTTATGTGGGGGCATTTTTGGTATTTTAGATAACAAATTTTGTTATAAATGGTAATTTAATGGTAGTGGGTGATAGTGATATTTAAATATAAATTAGAAGAGATGTCAGTGATATTTTTTATAATAGAGAGAGTGTCCTTGAAGATATAGTAAAGTAGAAGGAGTGTGGCTTAAATTTTCCCTAAAAATTATAATTTAGTTTACCAAAAATCTTTATTTTGTTATGAGTTTTCTTTTGTTCCTTAGATTTCAATTCGGAAAACAGCCTTGACTAGGAATGATAGTGGATTAGAAACAAAATGGGGATTTCTCCAAATCTATTCTGTTTGGATCGAAGATAAATCATACGTATTAGATGATGGACGTATACGGGGATACCCGTATAAACCCATGTAGAGATAAAAGAGGGGATAGACTGAAACTCATCTCGTCCTCATCTTTGTCCCGCCCAGCCCGTGAAAATAGGATTTTCTTCCATTAGTAAGGTATTATAGTATTATTTTTTAATTTTTTTTCTTAAAATCATATAAATTAATTATTATAGATAAGGACAGGGACATGGATCAAAATTTATTAGTGAGGGAGGGATGAAGATTAAAAAATTTTCTACTAATAGGAATAGACAGAAGATGAACGAATATTTCTGAAACAAGTACAAAAGTGAATACTACTCTCCCGTCCTGCCCGGTCCATAGTTATTCTTAATCTTGATTGGTATCTATAATATAAAATATAAAAAATTTTAATAAATTGATCCAATAATTTCAGATAGACTTATTCAACTTCTACAATCACCCCGTTTTAAAATCATTCCCATCACATTCTCTGCCTAGAATTCCATTGATAAAAAATGCTTCATTGAATAGTCGTGACTGTGAATATTTTACAAAAGATTAGGTGAGTGCACAAAAGTTGACTTGCAGACAAATTTATCGACAACGTTTGGTGGCGATGGTCGATCTGCTGCCAGTTTTTAGATTGCAATTCCAATGCATTGCAGACACACGCACACGCACACGCATACGTAGTCCATGATTGAAATTTCATCCAGTATATTTTTGTCTCTAGTTTTTCCTAGATAAATGGTGTCCCATGTGATATGCACAAAATAAACTTATGAAAAATTAATCAAGAGGGTGATGGTGTGTATGATACTGTATGTTGGATGTTTAATTTAGCAAGAAACTAAGATTAAGTGTTTCGATATGAGTAATCTATTCCATTGAGAATGGTGATAGTGGTCAGAGAGTTTTATTACTCAAGGTGTGGTGTATTGAGATGTGTGTGATGTCTTTTATATGTAGGCAGAATTTATAATTTATAAACAAGTAAAGTTAACTCCGTAGAGCTCTGATTGAGACGTCATCCTCGTAACAGGGAGCGGAGTAATGCCGTGAAGGTCGTCTTATCCTCTTAACAGACAAAGTGATAACGGTATGATCCTTTGAAGCTCGTCTTATTTTTGTAAAAAGGGAGGTGATCTCGCGAGACTGACAATCTGTTCTTGATGACCGCGTTCCAACGGATTGGATAGAGATTCCCGCGTCTACTAATAATGGGTTGGGTCTCTAAGGAGAGTCGGCTTGACCCAATTAAAATTGTGACTGAACTTTTGTTGATTTGTATCTGTGATTTGAATCTAAGCTATAATCATGGATTTAGTCAGAGCCGGGCCATCACCATGAATTCAAGTGAGACTAAGGAGATAATTTCATATTCACAAGCTCACGGACAATTCCCAAAAAGTCAATTGAAACAAGTTTACAGTTTATAGCTAACCTCCCACCCAGGCCACTTGTTCGTCCATGTGCTCAACCAGCTTCCACAAGCTTTAAAAGTCATCTTTGAAGGATCGTGTTAATTAATAATTAGGAAATAAAAAGGAGGATTAATAAGTTTGAAACATTCATGGACAGGGTGTCTTAGCCGCCTTTGTTGGATCTTTTGGTTGTAGAGCAAGACCCAAAAATGATTGCATGGAGAGCGTCACGCAAGGACGCTAATATACTAGTAACTTGGTCACTTGTTTTGATTAAAAAAAACCCTGCACTCTCAAATTATTGCAATAGAACTGTTGCCACTCTCTCCTTTTATTTATTTTTCATTTAAAAAAATTCATTACTGATGCCGGATAAGAATTAGCAATTATTTTATTTTTATTCATTTTTATTATTTTTTTCTTTATTCTAGAGGTAATTTTCTTTTTGATGAATTTTTCTTTTAAAGATTAATACTGTTATTCTATTAGGAATCATATTCTTAATCTACTAGAAATATTTTTCATTAGAATTAAAATTCCTTAGCCTACAAGGATTAGGATTTTAATACTATAAATAGGGTTATAAGCCTTAAAATTGGAGGTCTTTTATTCAATATTATTAATTTTATTCTTTCTAAGAGTGCTTTTAACCATGGTGTGCCAAGTTTTTTTGAATATTGACGCTGGTCATACGTTTACTGTATTCCGCTGCGTCAATAACTTTTATGATTGGACAAGTTTTATATCAATTGTAAATGTTCAATTACACAACATGCTTACCAATCTATGGGGCTCACAGATCTTGAAAGGAAAGGAAATGCTATGTATTGTTCTTAAGCTTAGCCTATCAGTCACTGTTTATCACACTTGGCAAGAAAGAAATGACAAATTCTTGGAAATACAGCTTTTGTTAATCCGTCATAAAATATTAAAAAGTGTTGAGGCCCTAAACAAAAATTCTTATTTTCACAATCTGTTGACCTAAAATTCTTGCGAACAAAACAAACATTTACAAAATTACATGAATAGAACAATTGATTATATCAAGAAGCTCAATAAAAATAGAACAATATATACCACATATTAAATAGAGATTGTATAAGTTTTCACTCTTTGTACATTTTTCAAATCTCCTAATATTTTAAACTTTCTAAAAACAAAATTAAATTATATTCATTATATTAGTAAAATAAAATTAAATAAATGTTTGATTAATAAATATAATACTTTTTAAAACCATTATGGTGGTAATAAATAAATTTGTGTGTATAAGAATTAGGGGAGACTAGTTAATTGTAGCTAATAGAGAGAGAGAGAGAGAGAGAGAGAGAGAGAGACACTTGTAGTGTTTAATTGGGTTAGTAATTTAAGGGAGGGATGGACCTTGGTTCTAGGTCGGGCTATTTCTTAAGAATATGTTTATTGGACCTTGATCAGAGTTGTTCTTGGGCCAACATAATTGTTAAATAGCCCAATTATTATTTTGGGCCCCTATTTCTGTGGGGGTCCTAAGTGACTGCCTAGATGGCCTACTTATTGGACCGCTCCTGAATACTTCAATTCTCGTAATACTCGCACTCAAAAATTGAAATGAGTGTTTGTGCATAATTGAACATGATAGTGTTAGATTCCATGGTAAAAGTTTATTTAACAAAGGCTTCAGAGGGATTCGAAACTTGACTCTGAAGCCTTCGTTAAAGTGTTTACTAGCTGGTTCACACTCACATTTACCAATAAATAATAATCTTGAAGATCTCAGGGAGAGAAACTGAAACCTTAAACTCATTTTCTGAGTTCGGCAGCTTTATGGATTCCCAAAATCGAATAATGAACGCGTAACCAACACTCGTCTTCAACCTCTCATCTCCGAACTCCATGGACGATTACTCGAGCTTTTGCGAATCATCGTGAAAACAAACTCGCGCGATACCTATATAAAAGCGGATCAATTCACGAGATTGTCATTATTATTATTGGGAAACTAAACATGTATTCCCTCAAGACCCGCCCATCAGTTGGTTGAGCAAACCCTAGCTAGCTCTCAATAATGAAGAACGGTGACATGACATTCAACCACAGCGTTGCTAAGAGTAGGGTTAAAGGAAACAATCTTAAGCATAGCAAACCCTCTTTTCATCCGAAACTTCCCTCTCCCTCCAACAACTGCAAGCTCCACTTCTGGATCCGCCACCGGATTCCTCGAAAAAACACTGATGGAGCTTCCATTAAACTTGCCTGTCGTGAAACCAAAATCGAGGTAAAATACCAGAACTAGGTCTTTGCCTTGATTGGATGATACGTAGACGCCCTGGGCATTTCCGATGACCTTCGACTTTGGTTCGGGACCGACGGTGAGAGGATCGTCGACGACAAACGTGTAGCCAAATAATGTTGGGTTGTTGTAAACACTTGTTGTGAGGTTGGCCTGCGCAAGCTTGACTGCAGTTGGGTTTTTGCCGGTGACTATGTCATGAAGGAAGAAGTGAAGATGGGTCTCTTTCTCTTTCTGTGGCTCATGACTCATGAGGAACGGTATCGTAGTAATACTTAGAATAAGCTGGTGCGGCCGCGATCAAAAGCCAAGTCAACACCAACCTGCCATTCATCATCTTCTTCAGAAGCGTTCCTTTGCTGCAGATCTCACCACAGTACCCACGTGTTTATGTCCACACTATCACTGTGTTTGGATGCTCAGAAAGAATCGGACAAGATACCAAATTTGTATTCATTTTAATCCGTGCCAAAACTACCACATTTATTTGGTTACAGTGATATATCATGTCCTGCTTAGGATAAAAGTGGACTGCAGAAAAATGTATATTTCTCTAAATTCGTTTTATTTGAGTCGAAGATGATTCATACGTACTAGATGAGAGACGTACATAGGAACACTCATATAAATCCGTACAGAGACGAAGGCAGAGATAAACTTACCCACTATATATATATATATATATATAATTAAATAAGTTCAGACCTAACTTACTATTTCCAAATTATTTATATGTATGTATTTTACACTTTGAATCCGCCAAATTATTGCATTCGAAGTTCGTGTCATGATTTAATGGGTTTGTGGCCAAACTTTTGTTTGAAGTTGATATTTAATTTTTCTTTTTTTTTTTTCCCTTTTCGTGGATCTATAAAATATTTTGTTTATGAGAAAATGTTATTTACCTAATCAATAACAGTTGTATTAAAACGTTGAAACTAATAACTAATTTAATGTTATAATGAATTTGGTACTGATTAAGCTCCAAAATTAGTTTCGTTTAGCATTGTGTTTTAATGGACAGAATCATTCGATGTTTCTTGATGGTATTTGATCAAGAGGAACTTCAACCAGCTCACTGCTATTTTATCCATTTTAGTTTACTGAGTAGAATTACCTGCATTTTAACTCAGAAACTCTGATAGATACTTCCCTTAGATTTCATGGTAATCTTGATCAATAGTCAAAAAATTTAAGTGGTTTCTTGAGATGGTAAAAGATGATTGAGTTTGTAATTTTTTAATTTCAATCTATCAATTTTATTAGTGAATATAATATATTATTTTATGCAATTATTATAGTTTTTTATGTTTTATTTTCTTTATTAAATTACAGGTGTCAAGTTACATAGCAGTAAAGTTTATCTATTGCAAATATTCAAGTTGTATTTTGGACATTTGTTGTTTGTGTTATGTTGGAATATGTTATGTTAGATTATTTAAAACTAGTTATTGTTTGTGCCTGAAAGCACAGAGTAATAAAAAATGGTATTAACAATAAATATATTTGTATTCATATCTAAAATTAAATCGAAAACATAAAAAACAGATAAAAAAATTTAAATATCGATTTGTAGTGGGAGTGAAATATATTGGGCGATAGTGGTGGTGATAGTGGTGGCGACAACGATAGTGGTGGTGGTGGCGATGGCAATGATGGGAGCAGTAGTGGGGATGGTGGTGACGATAACGATGGTGGGAGCAACGATAGGGGTGGCGGTGGTGGTAGTAGTGACAGTGGTAGTGGTGGTGGAGGTGAAGGTGGCTGTGGCAGTGGTGGAGGGTGGAGGTAATGGAGGTGGTGGTGAGGGTGGTGGCGGTGGTGGTTATGGCGGGGTAGCGATGACTGTGGCGGTGGAGGTGGCGGTAGTGGTGAGGGGTGGCAGTGGTGGTGGTGGTGGAGGTAAAGGTAGTGATGGAGCAGTTCAAAACAATATATATTTTTTAAAAGTACTTATGAGAATTAATTTATATAATACACTTTTAAAAAATTACTTCAAACACACCCTTAAGGCCCTATTTTTTCATATTAAATTTAAAGTTTTAATATTAGTCATTAGATTAACTTTAAAATAAATTTTAAAGTGATCTCAACCGCGATTAGCAAAAATCATTTTATTTATTTTTTGAAATTTGAATTGTAAGCTATTTTATTATATAGATGTTATTAGATTATTTAAAATATTAGATTTATTTAAAATTTTGAATTATGTTGGTTTAAACTTAAGCTTGAGTTTGGGCAGGTACGGGAACAAGGACAAAGATTAGAAATTTACCCACGAATGGGGATGAAGATGAAAACTATAACTATTCACGAGAGTAGATCAGAGATGGACGAAATTTTTTTAAGTGGGTATATTTGTAAAAACTACACTCTCCGCCCCCGCTTCGGTCCACTCACAGCGCTAGCCCTATCTAATCTTTGGTTTGAGAGATCAAAAATGGATGAAAGAATGGGTAAGAGTTCAGACTACAATTATTTGTTTTTGAACAGCTCCTACATTGTCACTTTTTTTAAATTGATCCTTCAACTTTAATTATTAATTTTATATTATCTAATTGTAGATATTAAAAACTCTTATTATATTATACATCTGGCCATTTTTTTTGGGATACAAGTGGGATACTTATGCTTCATCCGGTAAGAAAGATGGAAAGTAAGATGGATACACATTCAATCCTTCAATGATGAAAAGTACGAAAGATAGACTTTTCTTTATTTGTGTTTGGTTAGATGGATAGAAAATAAAAATAATAATTTTTTTTTTGTGCTGGCTAAGATTATGGGTGACAATCGAGTCAAGTCGTGTCGTGTCAGATTCGTGTTAAGTCATTATGAGTTTGTGTCGAATATTAATTAAACATAACTTAACTCATTTAACTAATTGTATCGTCTCAAGTTGCAAGTTGATCTGTTTATTTTCGTATCGAGTTCGAGTCGTATCATCGTGTTGAGTTTAAAATTTTTACCCTTAGTTAAGATGGAAAAAATATTTTTTTTAAATTTAAATTTTTTATTTTTTTAAAATTTTTTAAAATATATATACATATTTTACCATTGTATTTTTATATGAAATTAATGTATACATAAGATATATAGACAAATAAGATACATATCAACATAAATAATTAATTTTTCATCAACTTTCCTTCCGATTTTGAAATTATTGATTTTTGTGAGTTGGAAGGAAAGTTAATTCATCTACTTTTTCATCCTTCTTACTTTTCTTCCTTACCAAACATGATATTTTTTTTATCCCTCCAACTTTTCATCCTTCCAACTTTTCATCGTCTCACTTTTTTATCGTACCTTACGGAGCATTAGTTTTTGAAGCAATGAGAAACCAGTTCAAATTATCAAGGAAAAATGTGAGAAATACAATGGTTAAGAAAACAGTATTAGATTGAGTTCATAAATATTTTTTTTGGGTAAGTAAGAGAATTTTATTAATTGAAAGGATTATCAAGAAGTAAATCCCAAATACAATTAAATCAACCATCCCTGCCACAAAATCCAGACAGATAGAAAAGGAAAAGGCATAAAGATGCATCAAAAGATCCACTGAACAATAATCTAAAGCAAAAGGAAATCCCAAATTCACCATAAAGGCAACCCAACAAAATAGGGGTCAAAGTATAATTTATTTTTAAAAAATGAAAAGTTGCAGAAAGATCCCCTAATTTCAGATTAAATAATAAGAAAAACGGGTCGTAAACTCAGATAATTATAAACTCAAAAGATCTCATCATTCCGAAGAACTTGTAATATTAAAAGAGATAGATCAAATAATAACAGAAATGAGTTATAAATTCAGACAGATCGAAGTTGAATCTTAACAACCATTTAGAATGAAATCGAGAGGGATTTATTTTTCATGAATACTCTACTCCAAACATAAATGATATATCTTTGATCAGACCGAGAATAGAATTAATTAAATTACAAATAAATTAATTTGGACACTCATGTCTGTTGAACAAAAAAATAAAAATAAAATATCTTAGCCGTGGGCATATGTCTACTTGATTCCCGGTAGCTGGAGGAAATAAATAGGGCTAAAACTCACTTATGCTTCAAAAACTCACTTGAATTTTAATTTATATTTTCAAAGTTTAAAAATATTAAATTATACCTTAAAAGATATAAATTCATATGAATTTGGGATTATGTAAAAAATCTTGAAGAGTTTGAGTATTCAGATATTGAAAATAAACTACAAAATTGGGAGGCTAACTGTCAACCATTTTGTCGTTAAAAAATTTGTCTTAATTATAAATTATACCTTTAAAGTTTAAATATTTCACTTTTATGATCAAAAAGAAATTGTTAAAGTTTGGCCTAATTACAAAGTTCGTTAAATAGTTCTCAATTATGTCGTGTTCGAGTCAATAAAAAAAATGTTTTTAAAAATTTATAAAATATCTATTTTTTACCACCAATACTCGTTAAAGTGCTATTTTTTGTATATAGTATCTGTCAAATCATATTATTCGTATCTAACTTTATTTTGATCGATCAGTCAAAAAATTTGTGAATAGCTATTTAACGAGTATTATAGGTAAAAATAGGTATTTTATAATTTTAAAAAATTTTAAAATAGCATTATATGAATTGTAATAAATGTAAAATACATGACACAACATAATTATCTCGACACGAAAATATTTTGTGTTAAGAATATATTTTTATTGACTTGAACAAAACACGACACAAAATGACATGACATAAAAGTGTTATGATACGATACAATTAAAATATATTTAACAAATATTTTTGGATGAAATTATTTTTGAACCATAAATATGAAATATTTAAACTTTGAAGTTGTAATTTACAATTAACCAAGACTTTTTTAATGACAAAATAGACTGTAGTTAATCCTTAGTGCACATCAATATAAATTTATGATTTTAATGGCGCGAATTGATATTTTTTTGGTACAAATTATGCAGCTTAGACATACAAATCCAAATCTGAGTGGGGCAGTTTTAAGCAATCCGAAAATCGAAGCCAGCCTCACATGAACGCGTAATCACCACTCGTCTTCAACCTCCCATCTTCGACCTCCATGGGCGATGATCATTTGAGCTTTTGCGAATCATCATGAAAAAAAATTTAAGCGATACTAATAAGATTTGCGAGAGCTTTAACAGTGTGGGCAAGGTCATAACGAAGACAATTTATTTTTACTTACATAAGTAGGATTTCACACATAACAAAAAAGTAGATCAATTCACGACATTGACATTATTATTGAGTCTGAATACCAAATCTTACCCCTCATGTAGAGAAGCAGCCATAAATACTAAACTATAGATGTTGTTGCAACCTTGGTTTGCTCTGCGTAATGAATTACGGTGACATCACACTCAACCACAGCGTTGCCACTACCAGTGTCCCAGTAAACAATCTTAAGCAGGGCAAACCCTCTTGCCATCCTAAACTTCCCTCTCCCTCCTACAACTGCAAGCTCCGCTACTGGATCTGCCGCTATATCTCTCGAAAAAATACTGATGGAGCTTCCATTAAACTTGCCGGTAGTGAAACCAAAATCGAGGTAAAATACCAGAATTAGGTCTTCGCCTTTATTGGATGATACATAGAGGCCCTGAGCATTTCCGATGACCTTCGACGTTGGTTAGGGGCCGAGGGTCAAAGGATCGTCGACCACAAACGCGGAGCCAAAGGGTGTTGGGTTGTTGTAAACACCTGTGAGGTTGGCATGGGCAACCATGACTGCAGTTGGGTCATCGCCGTTGAGTAACGCCATTGGAGTAATACTCGGAATAAGCTGGTGCGGCCGCGATGCCGACGATCAAAAGCCAAGTCAACACCAACCTTCCTTTCATCATCTTCTTCAAGAAGCGTTTCTTCGCTGCAAGTCTCACCACTGTACCCCTCGGAGTGTTCAATGATCCAGCGGCTCGTGTCGTGGTTAGTTTGTACTCGACCCGATTCGATTTTAGTTCCACTTGAGCTTGTTCGTTTTATAAAAGGCGGAATTATACCCGGCCATCTTGATATTTGTCCCTTAACCTCTTAAATTTCAAAATATTAAAAATTTTATATATAAACATAATACATAAATTCTTATCGTTAATGTCGTTAATAAATTATATTTAGACTCTTAATATTTATAATTATGTAATAATAAGACTCTTCAAGTTTAAAATATTATATTTAAATAAAAAATATTTCAATCAAATATCAAATATCAAATATTTTAAATATTATAACTAAAATTTATATTATATTATATCATTTATTGATATAAAATCAAAAATAAAAATTTATTTTATTTTTTAAAATAATTACAATTAGTATACAATTATACTATTTATTAAAATAAAACTAAAAAAAATAAACAAATGGTCAAACTATAATCGACATAATATCTTCTATCTTTAATTAGGGTATTATTTTATCCTTGATTTTAGAATTTTTTGTCTAAATATAACATCTTAAATTTAAGAAATTTAAATATTACATGAATATAAACTTCAGGAGATTTTGGTATAATTTATTAATAGAATGTTTTATAAGGGTCTAAATGTTATACTTGTACAAATTTCAGAGAATTTGCAGGTAACATTTTAACTGTCAGGAATTTAAGTAATTATGTGACAAATCTCAAAAATTTTGGATATAATTCTCCCAATATAAAATTAGTCAAATTTGTACGTAAAATTAGGCTATTTTTAAATCGAGTCATAATAAGTCTGAGTTTAAGTCAGTCTGAGTCAACTCATTTATCCGTTTATTTGTTTTTACAATTTTACCGATAAAACAAAATAAAGAAAGGTAAAGACTTTCAAGGATATCTTTAAAGAAAGGTAAAGACTTTAAAGGATATGTTTTAAAAAGTTTTTTAAAAATATTAAAATCTTATCCATATCCTCATGCAATCGCATCTACCAACCACTCAAACACTCGCCCACGTAAACTTGTCCCCTCTCTTTCACCTTCTTTAAAAAATATTTATTACGATAATGGTATCACAGAATAACTCAAACACTAACCCACGTGACGTGAACTAGTACATACCTTTCTTTTTTTTTTTAAGAAATATTAATTACGATAATAATATCCCATAATAATATTAATGTAATATTATCAATCAATAATATTAAAATAAATAAATAATTAAACCTAAAAAAAAAAATTAATCTTCAATATAAGTAAACCCTTCATTACTTCAAGTAAAATTTATTTGTCCATTTAATATTTTATTATTAATTTGCATTGAATATTTTCTCATCCCTCTCCTTTTTTCTTCCCGATAAACTAAATTCCTTGAGCCCCAAAACCCACCCATCCACCTAACCTTCGTCACTTACCTTCTTCCGGTAGGTAGTCAGTCTGACCAGTCCGACTCTCTCCTTCTATCTCTCAAACGCCTCTCGCCTCTCCTTTCTCCCATTGGTTCTTCCACTATCCTTTGCACCCGTATACTCTTATTAACCATGTTGCAGCTTTGTGTGTCTCCAAGTTTTACCCAACTAGTATGAGAAAATGGAGCTGCCATGATACATGAGACCATGGAACACTTAATCAAAAGGTTGTGTGGTGAATTTATTTGTATTGACATGTGTTCTGAATTTGATTTTTTCAATGTTAGGCTTCTATTGAGTCTTGATTTTTGTATAAATCTAATCTAAAACCCAAGAATCTGAACTTGACATTGTGGATTAGGAGATTTTGATTTCGAAACCTAATATAATTTATGTTTGTGATTTTGAGATTTGTAGTTTATACAATGTGAATTTAGGATCGATCAAACTTGAGCTAAGCCTAAACAACCCTCCAACAAATCGAGTCAAGCCTGAGCATTCTAAAGATCGGATGGCTCGACTGGATTAACACCATTATCTCATGACACTTTGAAATAATGTTAATGACATGAAGAATAAATTAGACTTTAACCCCTTAATTATGTGTTCCATCTAACAATATCTCTCAAATATCATATTTCTCATATTGTAGCTTCAACTACAATTATTTGTATTGGACTGCTCCTTAATTATCATTTTTTTTTAAATCGAACCTTTAACTTTGTTTATTAATTTTATAATATCCAATTGTGGACATTAAAAACTCTTATTATACTACACATTTGGGCATTTTGTACCCAAAGCAAGTCGGTTATTTAGTTTTGGAGGCAATGTGAAACTAATTCAAATTGTCAAGGAAAAATGTGAGAAGTATGATAGTTGAAGGAGCAAAGCATACGATTGAGGTCATAATTTTTATTTTGATAAATAAATAAATTCCTATTAACCGAAAGGATCACCAAAAGATAAACCCTAAAGCGGCGTTTGTTTGGGTGGATAAATTGGGATAATGGACTTGGATTGAGTTAAAAAAATCTGGAGCCCACAAATCCTAAGTTTGGATCCACATTTGTTCTTGGGATACTCTTTGGGCTTGATTTACTCGGTTCGTAGAAAATCAGTCATTTATCCCGCCTAACCCATATCTGCTTGTCTCACCTGAACTTTGGGATTAGTAAGCCCTGTAGTAGGATTGTAGGTAAATTTACATAAAAGCCCTCCAATAGTACAAAAGTTTAGGATTTTTTACCCCATTTTCTCTCCATTTCTTCAGGCTGGTCCCCTCCCATAGCGAACATCTCTGTCTCTCTCCGTGTACGTGTGTGTTAACAGAAGCTTTCTCTGTTTTCTCTCATTGAAAGCCAAGTCTCTCATATAAGTGTGAACCTAAAGACATTTTCAAGAGAAAGTGTTCCTTAGAGCCACAGCAAAATCCATACCCTTGGTTCCTGAATTTACACTCTCTTTAATATCTCAATAATGATGCGTTCTATACGTAAAAATGTATATATAGTTTGTCCTTGTATTTACAATATGCGATCTGGGTATTTGAGATTGGAACATTGCTGGGATTTCTTCTTGGTGATTGTGTTGGATCTTGGCGAATTTGGCACTCTTTCGAAAAATTTTCTATCGTAAGCCGTCAGATGGACTTTTGGAGATCTCTGATAGGGTTTTTATTATGTTTCAGTTATTCAAATTTTGATGAATTTTGGTGCTTTCTGACTTGAAGATTAATGGGTTTCGATTTAATGTTTATGTCCAGAGTTTAGTGTTTGAACATCCTGCAATAGTGCATTTATAGGAAATTTGACATATAAAAAGTATAGTTAATGGTGTGGACTATTTTATTTGCACAAATCATGTTCATGTCTTGCCATTTTTTTTTTAACAGCAACAAGCATGTAGCTTCACACTTCTTGCCTAATTGTATTGCTTTCATTTTGCATGTATAGTTGAAGGCAACAAAGAAAATATAAACATATCGGTTACGTGTAATTACGTAGTATACTGCCTTAATTTTGCTTTTCCTGTTGTATAAGGTTACGTGTGATAATAAAATATGTTTAGATGAATATCGATTTGTGTATATCATTTTTTTTTTTGAAACAATATGGGACAATTTTATGAGCAAAATTAATGTGATCACAAATTTTTGCTATTGCAAAATTTAAAAACAAATTATTTTCGGTTTTTAGACCCGGTGACATAGCTAAAAATTGGAATGAAATATAAAGATGGACAAAATAAATATAATTGCAAATTCAATATTGACTTTGGATTGGATAGGAGTGAAGGATAAAATTATAATTTAATATGAAAGGTAAGAGAATTTTACACAAAAAACAAATGTTTTTCTGTGGGCCCCATAACATGTGGAAGAACTTCCTAAATTAACTTTTATTTATCTCTCAAACTTTTTATCATTCTATTTTTTTCATCGTACCAAACATGACAGAAAATTTAAACTGTTTGAAAATGATATAATTTAAATATTTATATTTCAATTAGAAATCGCAAAAAACGAAACTATTATACTAACCTTAGGTGAGGAAAAACATTCCCAAAGAAAAGCAACATATAAGTCGAGAATCATTTGAACAAATTAAACTAAAAATACACACACAAACACAGTGGAAAAAAATAAACCCGAAAAGACTAATAAGGGAGTTCAACCAACAAAAACTAACACTGTGGAGAGAAAGAAACATCAAACATTAAGAGAAGAAAACAAAAGATGATTGAAACTAGCATAGACCTTCAAATAAAAGAAGTAGCAAGTGTGACATTGTAACCCACTGTGGCATCACCTATGGTAACATTAAACAAATAAGGTTGGACGATGGCATAACCCCTTACCAATCGGAAAAGACTGGTACCACCCATTACAGACAAGTCGCGACTGGGTTGGAAAATAGGATCTAGGGTGGCAATGGTGAAAGAGCTGTCGTTGTATATACCATCTGTGAACCCAAAATTCATGACCATAATCAGAACTTGCTCTAACTCTCCAGAAAATCCATACAGCCCCCGGGATTTGCCGACGGGCTTTGAGTTCGAGTCAGGTCCCATGGTCAGTGGATCATCAGCCATCGCCAGAAGGCCAAAAAGAGTGGGTGAATCGTTGGGGTGTTCACCCACCCCTACAGGTAGGAAATATAATTTTTTATCTTCCTATCTGATACTTTACGAAAGAATTATTTTTTAGCCTATTCTACTCGATCATGTGTGGTATTCCTATCCTACTTCCTACCCGATTAATCGGGTAGGAATTTGGGTAGGAAGTTGGATAAATACTTTTGTAGCTATTAATTTTTGAATTATTTTAACAATTCAATTAAATAACGTGCACCAATTTAACAATATAATAAATCAATAACACTACAACTTAAAACAATTACAACAACAATTATAATAAAATATAAAAAAATATTAACATCAATTTATCATAATTATTATATAAGTACAATAATAATTATTTTAATTTTAAATTATATGAAACACATAAAAATCATAACTGCTCTAATAGATCACCAATTCACCATAAATCATATAACCTACACAAAAATCATATTTTAGCAACTCAAATATCCACAATAATAACAATGCTATAATATAAATTACACTACACAAATACTCTTATAATTATTAAAAAAATATAAAAAAGTTAAATATATTTTTTGAACGTAGGATAGGGTAAGAATTCGAAAATTGATAGGTATTCTGCATTCTTACCTAATTTGATCGGAAGATCAAGAATTCTTCCGCATTTTTACCCGATTTTTCCGACTAACCGTTTAATAAAATAGGATAAAAAATTGTGATCAATAGAAAATTTGAAAACAGCCTCGTGAATTGTTGGTCTGGTTAGCTTGAGCCATCCGCGCTGCACTTGGATTCTTTCCGCTGACTGTGTCGTGGAAATAGAACTAAAGGTTTGTCACTATCTCTATTCCTTTATCAATTCTCTTTGCCCAGCTGATTTGGTCAGACACATCTTCTTGGCTCTGTGCTGATGCCATGGTTATAACCAGGGAGATGAACATTACAACCAGAGCTACTCTGGCCATCTCTCTCTCTCTCTCTCTCTCTCTCTGGGAATAGTATTCTTTGCAGCTAGAAGGAGAAAGGAAAGGTTTTTATATATAGAAGACCAAGGCGTAATTGTTACCAAGTAGCCACCACGATACCTTAGCTAGAGAAGTCCCATCTATCTCTAATAAACATAATTTTTTATTATGTTTGAATAATAAAAAAATAATCAACAATAAATATATTTATATTCACACCTAAAATTAAATTACAAACATAAAATAAATAAAAAAATTTAAACACTAGTTGTAATAGGGGTGAACGGTGGTAGTGGTGGTGAGAGACATTGATGGTTGTCATGGGTGGCAATGGTGGTCTAGTGGTAGATTTTTGGTGATGATGGTGACAGTGACAGTTATGGGCGATGACGATAGTAGTTGTGAGCGACGGTGATGATGATTGTGGCTCGCAATGGTGGTGGTGGGGTGACGACGCTTGTGGATTACAGTGGTGGGCGACGATAGATGCTTCTGGACAACAGTATGATGAGTTATGATAAATAACAGTGGTGGTAGTGGTAGGTGTGGAAGGGGTGGGTGACAGTGGATGGCGACAGTGGTGAGCGATGACGATTGATGTTGGTAAGTTTGATGGAGGTGGGTGATAATGACCGGTAACGATGGTAGACAATGATGAGTGATAGTGAGCAACAATGGTAATGATAAGTTTTGATGGTGGGCGATGGTGATATTAATATTAAATATAAGAATAAGATGAAAATTGTGATGAGTGGTAATAGTAGACGACAGTAATAACAATCAGTGGTGGGTGACGATAGTGATGTTGGAATGGCAACGACAACGGGGGTGGTGGTGGGAGTGGGGGATGGCGATAGTAGTGGTGGCGACGACGATAATGACAGTGACAGTGGTGGTATTGGTGATGGTGGTGATAGGGTAACGATAGCGGTGACGGTGGTGGTGATGAGGGGGGGATTGGTGTGGTGGTGGTGGTGGTGGAGTGGCAATAGTAGTAGTGGCAACAACAGTGGTGGAGGTAGTGGTGGAGTTAGTGATGGGGTGGCAGCGGCAACAATGGTGGTAGTGGTGATGGTGGTGGGGCGGTGGGGGTGGTAGTGTTGGATCGGTTTCAAATACTATTTTCTTTTAAAATATTCATAAGTAATTATAAGTTCTAGAAGTACTTTTAAAAAATCATTTCAAACACACATTTAGAGGCCTATTTTTTCTGTTAAATTTGAGGTGTTATTATTAGTCGTCATATTAATTTTAGAATAAAATTTAAAGAGATGTTAATCGCCAAAAATAAAATTTATTTTGTTTATCTTTTGAGATTTGAATTGTATTATCCTTTATTATATAGATTTTTTTAGACTCCATTACATAATTGGCCACTAGCCTAATTAAGGCGTGGGGTATATGGTTATTTTTTTTTTTTTTGGTTACAGGATATATAAGCGTGTGGTGACTTCTGTAATAGTGATCATCGTTATTTGAATTGAGTGAGAATATGTTTTTGAGGAGTAAGAGGGAGTGACTTACTTTTAAGGAATGTAGGAAGAAACTAAAATTGATTCTTGTGAGTTACTTAATATCAGAGTCAACCACTAAGCTATCTCTAAAAATTTCGTTTGTTGTGTGCTTGCTAATGTGTCATGAATACATATATTTGAGAGAAAGAGAGAGACAAGTAAGCTAGTGTTTTATTGTAAGCTTCATTCCATATTCTGTCGGGCAGGTCCGTGGGCCAGCCAATCAACAACAAGCAACATAAAAAGAGGAAAAGATTTCATTTTGTTAGATGGAATATCAAAATAAAAACCCCATTTTTTTTTTTTTTGCTAAATGCATAAAAGCCCACTTAAAGGTTCATTAGTGTCAACCCTAGGGGTAACTTATTCAAAACAGCAATACTAGGCTGATTAGGCCTAAATAACATGATAATATATTATTTAAAATATTTATTAGGACTCAAATGACATAATATCAAATGAAGAAGTTCAATTCAACTGTCATATCATTTGAACTTCAAATTTAATCTTAAAATTTAACTAGTTCAAAACCCCTTAAAACCAACGTACAATCCATGAATCCTGGTCGGACGAGCTAACCCAACCCATCGGCAAATCCATTACCTCAATGTTTAACCCATAACCATCCTTAAAAAAAATCGAACACACGAGTGATGAGAATTTTTTTTTTTTTTTGGGTAAATCTGTTGAATGTACAACATAATAAATAAAAAATTAACTAAAAAAATTAGATTCAAGTACAAATAAAATTTGAAACTAGAAATGAAATTCCTTTAAATCCATTCCCTTCGTTGGTTCAACAAAACCTAGCTAGTTCTAGGTCTCAGTAATGAAGTACAGTCACCTTATACTCAATAACAGCATCGCCATTAATAGAATTGAAGTAACTAGTCTTAAGCTTAGCAAACCCTCTTGCCATCCTGAACTTCCCTCTCCCTCCCACCACCGCAACCTCCCGCCGCGGCTCCATCACCGGATTCCTCGAAAGCACACTGATGGAGCTTCCGTTAAACCTACCGGCGGTGAAACCAAAATCAACGTACATTACAATCATTAAGTCTTTGTCTTGACTGGATGACACGTACAGGCCACGAGCATTTCCGATGACCTTCGACTTCGGCTCGGGGCCGACTGTCAGAGGATCGTCGATGACGATTGTGGTGCCAAAGGGAGTTGGCCCTGTTGGGTGGTTGTGATCAGTTTCTGTGAGGTTGGCATGGGCCACCGTGACCGCACTTGGTTTGCTACCACTAATTATGTCATGGAGAAAGAAATGAAGATGGGTCTTCTTCTCTCTCATCGGTGAGAAAGAAATGAAGATGGGTCTTCTTCTCTCTCATCGGTGCATGATCGACGCTGTCCGAGTAGTAATCGGACTGCACCAGTGCGGCGGCGACGGAGAGGATCAAAAGCCATGTGAACACCAACGTTCCTTTCATCTTTTTTTTTCAGAAATATCTCTTTTCTTTTATATTTTTTTCCCTCTGTTACGAGATTATATAGACAATTGCATTAACTTTCGTAACCTTCAATTAATTCTGACAGCGAGGATTGGTGCTGTTAATTGTTCTCTCGGACGATTTACGAAAATTACACTGGACCCCTTAAATTATGTCTCTTATTTCTTAAAAAAATACTACATAACCCAAATAAAATTTAAAAATTCAAATTCAAATACATATTATTTCTTGGATGAGTGTGGAATAAGAAGATTTCACTGAAAAAATTAATGAAACCCACTCATTCAAGAAATATTATGGATGAGTGTGGGACGAGTGAATCTCACTAAAAAAATTAATCAGACCCACTCATCCAAGAGATGATATATTTGTGTTGTAACTTTTTGGGTGTTCGGACTAATTTATGCACACCTCCACTAATCCGCTCCGTGTTTGGTCAAAGGTAGGTCATCTATGCTGGGACTAAAATATTTAAGAGGAATAAATTCCTCATAGCCTAACCCCTAATGAACTGTTAAAATTTAAACTCAGAACATCTGAATTTATAGTTCATTCTTGTTATCACTTGTGTTATCCTTTAAGGTTAGTATAATTTAATTTTTGTCTTAATTTTGCCATGACAAATTAGATTGAAATAACGGTTGAGATAGTATAAAATTCAAACCAACAGTTTTAAGTTATAAAGTGAGAAAGTGAATAGTTTAGGAGCAATATTTAATGAGGGGTAGAGTTTAGAAGGATCTAAGTGTAATTTTTCAAGTACTAGATTATTCGGGGTTATGCAAATTTACTGTAATAATTATCAATAAGACATATTTGAAATGACTATTTATATAATAAAATATAATACAATTTAAATCTCAAAAGATAAATAAAATAACTTTTATTTTTTGCGGTTAAAATCTCTTTAAATTTTATTTTAAAATTAATTTGACGGTTATTATTAACCCCCAAATTTAATAAGAAAAATGGGCACCTAAGGGGGTTGTTTGAGATAATTTTTTAAAAATATTTTTAGAATTTACAACTTCTGATAAATACGTTAAAAAAATAGTATTTGGAACTGTCTTACCACCACCATTACCACTATCACCACCAACCTCACCACCCCACCACCATCACCCCAACCAGCCTACCACCATCACCACTACCACCACCACAACTACCCCCCACCACTACCATCGTCACTACCACACCAACGCCTTTACGACAACAGCCACCACCACCATCACACCTACTACCCCATCACCACCATAACCACTACCACCACCCCAATCGCCCTATCACTACCATCACCACTGCTATCGCCACACTATCACCACCCCCACCCCATTACTGTCACCCCACCATCACCTCTTCCGCAACATTCACCACTTCGCGGCCATTACCACTGTCGCCACCCCACCATTGCCTCACCACCACTATCCCCATTACCATCACCCCTACCACCATTACCATTGCCACCCACGACTGCCATCATCACAGTCGGTTGTTGTTTCTCACCACCACTACTGTCATCCACCATCACTCGCCCCCACTATAATTGGTGTTTAAATTTATTGTTTTCTCTTCTATTTTTGTAATTTGATTTTAAGTATTAATACAAAGATGTTTATTATTGACTTTTTTTTTTATTACTTTGTGCCTTTAGGCACAAAAAATAACTAATATTTAAATAAATGGAGATATATTGCTATTATTATTTAAAAAGGAGCCCTGACCTATCCAATTCCATGTTCAAAAAACACCTATCCATTTTTTGGAGTTTAACATGAACCTATACACATTGAGTGAGACCTATAACTGAGTAAAAATGTGAAATAATTGCCCCCAGGCCCGTTAGAATATGGGGGCACTTGTCACCCCTGACTTTTGAATCTCTTTTACATATTACCCATTATTTTTTTTAATTTATTAAATTTGTTTCACCCCAAATTTCTTGAAATTGGTAATGTGAGCTAAGTCTTTTGATTTTTGTAAGTTGGTAGTTCATTGATTAAATAAAAAATAGGTGAAATGTATATAAATATTTTTGTGTCTTTTTGGCTCATGTTTTATTTAGGTTAAATAAAAAACTAGTTTTATGGAATAATTTACTCTTAAATCTTATATATCTTACCATGTTTGGATTTTGATTTTTTTTTTTTTATGTATTGATTGTGTACGATTCTCCCCAAACTCCGCATGCACGGAAGTCTCCTACACTAGACCGCTTTGATAAATATTTTTACTTTTATAGTCTTATTTTACCCCTAAACTTAAATACTGGCTCTGCCCTTGCTCCCATGTATGAATTGAACAATGAATTGGCCATCATTTAAATATCCTTACTAGCAGGCGAGATTTGATGAACTGAAGCTGTATGACATTGTTAGAACTTAACATCAAAATCCCACAAATTTAACTCAAGTGTTCTCAAACATCAACTAGAAACAGAGCTCAGTAATGCACCACAGTCACCTGATACTCTACAAGGGCACTCGTAACATTGAAAAAAAGGGTCTTTAGCCTGGCAAACCCTCATGCCATCCTGAATTTCCCTCGGCCGCCAACCACCGCAACCTCCCGTTCAGTCTACGTCTCCGGGTTCCTTGAGAACATACTAGTGGAGCTGCCACTGAACTCACCGTCCGTAAAACCATAATCAATGCAGTTCAGCACCATCAACAGTTCTTTACCGGCCGAGACGTAGAAGCCTTGTGCATGCCCGACGACGTTTGCTGTCCGGTCTGGACCTTCCGTCAAGAGGGCAACCACCACGTAGATACTGCCGAATGGTAGGAGTGACTGGAAGTGATGATTCATCGTTAAGTTTGCATGTGCAACCATGACTGAGTTAGGGTTATTCCCAGTGAAAGTGTCGTGAAAGAAGAAGTGAGTACAGTCTCTTTCTCTCTCATCATGTGATGACGAAGTAATCTTGTTGTGTGGTAGTCACAGACAACTGGTATGGTGGCTACAGATACAATAAAAAGCCTAAACCAAAATGGCCATGCTTCCATGGTGCCTCTTCTTTTCTTCTGTCCTTGCACTTTCTGAGAGATCATGGCAATTGACTGACATAAATTTATAGGCAACTAATGTATTAAAGAGGTCTCTCTAACCGGTGAAAAGTGGTGGGTGTCCACTAACGGCCATTCCTAGAGGAGTCGGTATTTGGGCACTGGATCCCTTCGGGCTTGGAGAATGTGTGATGCTGAGTAGGAGTTTGGCAAACCAACTAGTCGCTTCTCTAGTTGAAGTATCGGTCCTCTGTTTCAGGGGATGCTCAACTTATCAATTTATCTAGTAAATTACTAGGGGCTCATATAGTTTATGTCGGATTAATCGTATTCTAGATTAGACTAATGAACCTAATTGAAGTGGCTCATTTTGTCCCGGAGAAACTTATATACGAACAAGAATTAATTTTACTTCCCCACCTAGCCACTCTAGGTTGGGGGTAGGTCCAAGTAGAAAAGTTATATATATCCTTCCATACTTTGTATTTGGATTACTTCATTTGACATAAAACCATTAAATTGTAAATTGTGTCAAAACTGCCATTTGCTACACATGGGGGCTAAAAATTTGACGCAACAGACTATTCTTGATGAGTCGTGCCTTTCGAATTTTGGTATGCTGAGGCTCGGGTCAGTTTGGTTATCAAGTTCATATTGTTGCCAAAACTTTGTCAGTAGTTTTGGTTTTTACTACAATCTTAAATGTGAGCTGAGGCGCTGAGTGTGTTGTCAAGTCAAGAGTGAGTCCATTTTGTGGTCTTTTTCATTAAAGGTAGTCTGAAAGATGAAGTACTTGTGTTCTATCAGAAAACAGTGTCCAACTCTTTTTCTCTCAGGCATTGCATCAGCACATAGTTCTTGTATCAATATTGCCATCACAAAATGATTCCCTCAGTACATAATGTTTGATCGTCCAAGCCATTCACATGTATAAAACGTAAATTGTACATGCTTTTTCCAAGTAGGGACCTCAAATCAGGGCAGTTTCTACATGCAAAATACCAAATATCCTCAAACTTTTGGTTTCCAGCCACAATTTACCATCTAATCTAGCTTGAAATTAAGCTGTTAATCCAAGAATCAATGTTTTTCCTTAGAATCAAAGTTTTCTTTTTATTTATTTTCTTTTCTATAGAAAACATTAAATTCTCGCAATTCCCCAATTTATAGACACTGATAATCGAATTCAATTTCCAATTGCCCATGTACGTGAGTTGGTCAAATTATTGTAGTCGATGTTTCATTACCTTATACAGTATTCAGATTGGGACTCGAGATTTCAAAATCCAGCACAAACTCATCCTAAATTTAGAATTTCAAACAGTTTAAAGTAAATTAAATCACGAGTTGTGTGATCTTAGAATTTTATATGAATATCAATCGATGAATTGAAACCAAAATTTTAGTTCAAATTGCATAATCAAAATTTAAAAATCTAAGCACATACATTCCTCAAATTGAAGAGCTTATGTGACGGTTGAGTTCAAATTGAACTTGGATTATGTGTTTCAATAACTTGGCCTAGTTCTTATTAAACTCTCAACCCATCTAACCTGCTTGAATTACATCCCTAAGAAGACAGCCATTGTAAGCATGAGTTTTCACTTAATATGAGAAATCGTTAAAAATCATATTAAATGATTGTATAATGCATAGAATTATTAAACTCAGACAGTGTAATTCCAAAATCACACACAATACAACTCCAGAACTGAAACAAATATGACCCACATATATGTAGATCTACAAATAGCTGGAAATGATGGATGATCACTTGCAAGTGGTGAATCTGCAGGCAATTTTGCCATAACCGGAATTAGCCCTGATGAACCTCAGAGCGGTTAGGAGGACAAGCCGCTCAGAACCCATTAAGGCTAAATTCAAATGTTCGACCACACCAAGAGGATGGTATGGGAACTGGACACTATTGTAGGAGTTAAGAAGTGCAGTTGTCCCTTCTCTTAGAAGGGTCCTGTAAGGGTCCCCTCTCCCTCTCATGGCTACCCCCAATGTCAAGTCTGTCCCGTACCTCCTTGCTGCTAGTAGTCCGAAAACTACGACTACTTTCATGTCTGGGTTCACCACCTTCCAGTAGCAATTATATTCAGGCATTGTCCACATGCTGTTGCAAATGATAGACTCATTAGGTTAGGGGACATTAATCAACAGCCTTCTAAATAATCATAACTTAGCTACATATGTGTATGCAACAGTGAATGATACAGATTAATTTTAGGATTAATATCCGTGTCACTTGGTCCCTAACTAGACAATCAATCAAGCTTTTTTACGAAAGTGACTAGGTCTCATTGTTTTAGACGGTATCACGTGATCATTCTTTTAAAAATTTAACGGTGTCAATGTAAGGACTAAAATGATACGAATTGAATACTTTAAAAATCAAATTGATAAAATTTAACGGTGCACGTTCACTAAAATTTAAAATACTTCGGTCTTTTAATTTTTGGTTGTTTCATGGTGGACTTGGTGCCATGGGTTTTTTCCTGATGCTAATTTTTTCCTAGAAAATCAGTGTCATCTTTGTGTGTGCGGTTCATTTAGATTCCTGTTTTTTATTCCTTACTTGTATCGTGTACCAGATCGTTCACCGAGGGAAATTGTTTCCTATTAGAGAGATATGATATGATTACCAGAAATGCATCAATATCTAAGTAAAGATACGATAGGAAGTATCTAATATTTCCAACATTCACAATAAGCTTCTTCTTAGCTCAAGCTAGCTAGAAAGCGTCTTGTTAAGATACTGTTGTTCAACTTACTTGTGGGGACAGGCTGAAGCTTCCAAGAATGGCACTGGTGGCATTGGAGGCAACCGAGGCAATGGTGGCAACCGAGGCAACGGTGGTAGTCGAGGCGCTGGTGGAGGCGTTACAGGGGTCACTGGCACAGGCACAGGGGAAGCTGATCTTGGGCAGAAGGACATAGGTTGTGCAGGTTGAGACAACAAAGGATCCACAGTGTACATTTCCATATCAAACATTCTAAACATAAGTCTCAGAGACTGGGAGGGACCGGCCGCTGCCTCACAGCCTGTAGACCTCTGCCCACCGCCGGTGACCTGAGAATAACAACCACTCAGGTCTGGGGTACCATCAAACTTTATAGCATAGCTGCCTAACCAATTTGTTGTCTCCTCTCTAAAGACTGTGAGTTGCCCATCACTGCCTGGGCAGGCCATTGTAACTTTTATACCTGCATAAAGATTGGTGTTAGATTTACTAAACAATTGAGAATTGATTGTTGGTGTTTAATTGCTAATAGGATTCCTTTCCAACAGCATACATGCCCTTTAATTCTATTCAAGCTGCCTTCTTTGGCAACTTGAGGGACCATATAAAGGAGATAGATTTGGGGCAAATCACCATCAAACTAGTAAACATCAAGACTAAACGAAAAAAGAAAAAGAAACACACCAAAAGGGGTCAAAACCAATGTGCCCTCTAAACCAATGTGATCTTACCTTGTAAAGGGTAATCAAAAAGAGAAACTTGGCCATCTTTGCATTGGTCACAAAAGACAGTTCCAGTGACCATGGCATCACCTTGAGCTCCATTAATGGCTGCAGCAATAAGAAGAAAAGCTGTAAAGAGAAGCTTGTGTGACCAATCCATGGAACCTAAGAAGCTGTGAGAGAGAGAGAATGAAAGCAACTTTGAAGAATAGATTACTGGTAAAAGTGAATGAGCATTAAGTAGAGAGGTCAATAAGGAGTGGTCTATATAGAATCTCTCAACTGTCACCATTTAATGAGATGCAATATTGTTTTTGAAACTGAGTGATGAAATATTAATAAAGGTACACCATATCATTCGTCTGGTGTTATTATTGGGATCCAGCTTCTGTACCAGACAAAGAAAAAAAAAAGATTGAAGTTAATGCTATCAACCAGCATCCAGGACTTTACTGATTCATAAAGTGTTGGGTTCACATTGCCAAAAAACTAATATTACTTCTATGTGGAGGCATGTTTTCCAACCAATCTTATTCACATTCAATGGTTCTTGTACGAGAACGATTCCGGTAGGGAGTTTAGTGTCATACTAAAATCTATAATTAAATAAGTGTCAATTATAACTCACCAGAGGTCAAGCTACAACCCAAAAGAAAAAATTAGAAACTTCATAATTTGTCTCGAAAGACCCAATTTTGTAGTAATATTTTTAGATTGGACAATAATATCACCCTTATTTTTTAGTATTTTTCAATTCAATACCGAAAAGTGACTCTTCAATACCATAGTATTCCTCTTCTAAAGCCTTTTCAAAAAAAAATAAAAATTCCTCTTCTAAAGAATATAAGATCTTGCCTACCATATCCATACGACAGAGAAGAAAAGATGAAGATGTCCACATTGCTTTAATGTGAACAAGGATCATGCTCAATAGCCACGATTCAAAGTAATTTTAATGCACACAGAATGTGTTAAAGAGGTTCCAAACACATATCATGGATGTGAAAGTTTTGTCAACTTTAAATTAACTCAACTCAACACGATCTTATCCCAATAATTTTTATGAATCGGTTTTTTTATGACCATCAAGTCAAATATTAGTAGTATCCTACATTCGGTTGGACATGGAAGGTGTCTCACCTTTGATTTTTCTCGATGAGTCCAAAAAAAAAATGGAAAAAGGGTACACTTTCTAGAAGGTTCAAGTTTTGACCTGACCGTCGTGGAGGTGGTGGGTATTAGTTAGCCGTCAAAGGTGGTGGTGGTGCAGAGCATTGATGGTAGAAGAGCAATGAGGAAGACTTGTGGAATGAAAAAAGAGCCCCGCCTTTTAATTGCTTTTCCTTTGTCAAACTACTCGAAAAAAGGTACGAAGGGCTCTTTATTTTTTTTTTCAAATTTTGGGGGAGAGAGAAAAGGAAAAAGGGTTTGAATATTTGACCTCAAAAAAATAATTGTTTTTTTTTTTCAAACTACTCGGAAAAATGTACGAATTAGCTTATCATTTTCTTGAAATTGGTATAAAAGAGTAATATTATTTAAACTTAAAATTTTGATTTATTTTGTTGACATACTGATGTGGTTTCAATAGAACTATTGGATTAATACTGAGTTTCAATGTTAGATGGACTCCACAGTCAATCCAAAAGTTATAATAAATTAAG